CAAGGGGAAAATTGAGCTGGTAATCCAGGTCTGGAAATGTCAATGGCTATCATGCTACTTCCAGAGGAGAGCTAAGCATGATGACACACAGAAGCAGGGACAGAGGAGAGATGAAAGACAGGAAGTAACTTTCCCCCTGTTTGCATCCAGTTCTTCACTGAAGACAAAACTTGTTCTCCTGTCTCTAGACTATTGTTTTGGAATTTACCTCTTCCATGTCCTGCCATTTTCCATAGCAGCCTGTAGGCAATGACAAGTTAACTTGGGGTCACAACTCCTGCATAGTTTCCCCAATTCTGGACAACTCTGAAGGGTCTTTCCAGCTTGAGTTGCTGAACTACTTATTGCAGTGGCAAAACTCTGTTCCATCCTGCTGCTGTAATAACTAGCTTATTCTTACATTATCAGCAAGGGTAAGAAAAGAAAGCTACCTTTTAATATGAAGAGTGGATTATTTATGGGTCATAAAGTAGAGCAGATGAAGAGTGGTAGAAACAGTGTGTGGTATGAGAAGGAACTTCAATAAGTGAGTGGGTACAAAGGGATATAAGAAAGGATTAAAACCTTGTCATCTGAAGACAAGTTGAGGGAACTGAAAGTATTTAGTGGAGAAGTAAAGATTTATGCAGCACTTTTCACATATTTGACAGAATATCAAGTAGATGTCAAACTATCAGGTAGAGACAAGAAATACTTTTCTGCTGGGTTCTCTGCTTGACCCCCTACAGTCAACTCTCACACCATTTACATAATCAGGTTATATCTTTCTACAGCTTAACACCCTCCAGTGGCTTCTTACCATACTATAAATAGAAACCAGTGTTTGCTAATACTGTGATGTTTTTCATAATCTAGCCTGTCTTTTCCTTTCCAATATCATCTCCTATGGTTCTTACCCTTACATGATTCCTGTAGCAACAATGTTCTTGATGTTCCTTGAAATAACCAGTTCATTTCTATCTCAAGGCTTTGCAACTGCTGCTTTTGTTGCTTGTTCTTCTATATGTCTTTCTATGAGCTCTTCATATGCCACTGTCCTTTTTTTGTTCAATTTTGAATTAAAAAATGCTATCTTCTGCTGATTTGTTTCTACTTCATTTCAGTGTTTTATGTTCTTCATACTCTTTTTTGCTACCTGAAAAGATTTTTGTTTTGTTTTGTTTTGTTTTGTTTTTTATCTATAGCTTATGATTCTGTTTCTGACTCTCCTCCCACAAAAATGTAAGGCTCACACAGTCAGAGATGGGTTTCTCTATTCATCAATGCAGACCCAGCATTTGGGGTGGTTTGAGCACACAGTAAATGCTCAATAAGTTCCTTGTTCAGTGAAAGAAACCACACACCAAAGAAGTAGTTCTAAAGCTAGTGGTTTGGAACTTTGGAGAGCAGATTTTTCATGTTGTAGTCTAGTAGGCTCATATCCTGGATGTAGAAATGAATGCCACTTTGCAGGGAACCAGCAAGCCATTGGGAACTTGGGGCTTTGAATTATATAGACCAAGGATTGAGTTGTGTCCCTTCCTGGCTGGCAAAGGGCCATGGGCAAATTTAAAATCTGTAAGGACAGATGTAAGTTGAGACAAACTTCATAAAGGTGTGGACTGATTCAAGATTGCATCTGCAGCTCTCAGGAGCCCTGGACACTTAAAAATGCTACCTAAATATCAGTGCTACAGCTTGACTGTGTCGTTTCTATTGCTCTAGAGATGATAAATACTTCTCCACTGTGGCCATGGGAACTTCAGGACTCACCTAGAGCTGGGTATGCTGCTACACTTCTCTTCTGAGCAACATCTGGTATCTCTCTCTGTCACAGTAATGCTTTAGGTGGCAGGGTGAATGGAGTGGGGCTTGAAGAAGGGAGAGAATGAGCTGGCATAGACTTCTCAACTTCCTGCCTTTGACACAAACCAGAGCAGACTTCCTGGGGTAGGAATGGAGAAGTTATTCATAGGACTTCAAGTTGCTGCAAAATAGTAATATCTATCACATACACCACTTGGCTCTGCAGTGTTGTGTGAACTGGACTCTGTTTGGTGATCAGAGTAGGGGAGATATTATCACTGCAGGAGAAGCAGCTGGGTGAGTGCAGGCAGGAGGGAGGATCCCCTGTGTGGAAGGGCTTTCATTCCTCAGGCCTTGCATCTCTGTGGACGATCACCTGGGTGATGGACTCTTGTGATCCAGAAAAGAGTTAGGGAACATGATTTTATAGGTCAATAAAGGCTGAAGTTTTATATTCTCTGATCACTTTATCTTTTTTTTAGATGGTAAGGGAATTTTCCTTCATTCAGAAGAAAACAACAGTTGACACTATCCATTTGATGAAGTAAACATAACATGATAAAGTAAATATAGGTTGGATTTTTAAATACTTTACTTGGGTAATGAGGTGGTCACAATCATTAACTCTAATTTTCAACTGAGAGAAATACTGCATAGTGAGGTCATTAACTTGCATAGGCTGACGCTTTTGTAAGGAGTAAGGTCAAGAGTCAGATACAGGCCATCTCGCTACTTAATACGTGTGAAATGACTTTTCCCATTGGGGATTAGAGGAAATGGTTTGAGTGACAGGGACTAATAACTAAGCTAGACAGAGGACAGCTTTGTATTAGGTTTGAAGGTGGGCAAATTGCTAACTCATGCTTCATACCATGCTCCTGACACAGCAGCTAGAATAATCATCCCATTTTACAGCAATAGCCTGGCATTGGAGAGATTGGATAACTGGTTGAGGTCTCCAGACTGGTTAGGACTGTAATTGGGAATCCAGCTAGCCTGCCCAACCCCAATCCTGAGTTCTTCACCTCTTACCATGGAAGGTTTGCAAGGGAGTAAACTTCAGAAGTTCTGAGTTAGAAGTTATGGTTCCAGCCACTTCAAGTCTAACATATAAAGTGATGGTCTCCTGAACAGATATTCTGTATCCAGCACCTAGGCCAATACAAGTCATCACATTTCAGATTTTATATAAAAAATATTTCTCTTGCATGATTTCATTTTAAACTTTCAACACTCCAAATTAAATGGATCCTCAAAGAGTCTCTCTGTGGTGTTAATAATGCTCCCTGAGACTTAAACTTACTTAAAGTTTCTTCCTTTCCTGGTATAACACCTTCTTTCACCCAGAGTTCCCTCTGGGCTCAAGCACAAGTATGCCAGATTCTCACAATTCAATCCAATTGCCCCCTTCCAAATATCATCTTGTTGGAACATCTGCAGCATCTGACAGGTGGGTCAACTTTGCTTCTTGACTCACCTTCTTCATTTGGCTTCCTGGATGCTGCATCTCTGGGCTTTCAACCCGTTCTTTTTTGAGTTATCTCTTCCAGATGCTTGATTAAAAACAACATTGATCAATAAGGTTTTCAAATTTCTTTCTCCAGTGTGGATGTCTTTTCTTAACTTCATAAGTCTGGCTATCTACTTGATGTTCCCTTTGGTGTCAACTAAGCATTTCAAATTTAGTGCATCCCATAATTAATTATTAATTTGCAGCCCTGTTCCAATAATACACTCCCTTCTCTCCCCAGTTCTCCCAGTGAAGGCCACTGCATCCTTCCAGTTGCTCAGGTTCTGACCATTTTTCATCATCTCCACTGCTGCCTCAGTGGATCACAATCACTCAGTAACTTCATAAGTATCTGTTTTCTCTCTTCAGTCAATCTTAACACTGTAGCCATAGGATGAAAACAAAAGGCAGGGCATCTTTCCTTTCTATTGAAAAGTCTCCATTGGTTTCCCTCAAGTTAAAGACATACATCACTTGGCCCCATCACTAGGCTCACACCAACATCTTCCCCTCCTCTCTTGGACTGCATACCTCTACCTCTTCCTCAGTTAGCTCCTCTTCATTTCTATCCACATTTCCTCAAACATGTCACACATCCTCCCACCTCAAAAACTTTGCATTTGCTCAGCTCTGTGGAAAGCATTCTTCACTGACCTTCCCACTTGTCATTCAGCTTTTGATTCTGTTTCTTTCTCAGTAAAGTTTTCCCCGGCTCCTACATTTCAGGCTCCCACCCAACATTTCCTGTCTTTTCCTGTTTCTTTTTTCTCCATAGCACTTACGGCTCACCTAACATGCTAATTGATTGTTTATTTTTTACTGTCTCTGTTAAAATGTACGGTCAAAGAAGGCAGGAGTTTTTTTTCCCCCCTTCTTCTTTTTTCAGGCGTTCCAAGGTCAAAGGCAGTGCTTGGCACACTGTAGTGCTTAAAAATGTTCATGAGTCAGTGTATGAAACGCTCTAGGATAGCAGCCTTGTGGCTACAAAGCTATCAGGGTGGCTCTGGCCTCAGTGTGTGTCCAGGAGACACTTCCCCATTTCAACTAACGGTTTCTCTGCAAAACATAGGCGTTGGACATTCAGGTCTTCAATATCGCATTAATTATAGAAACCTGGAGAAGCAGAGGCCTGAACCAACGCTCCAGAGAGGGCCATTGGATAGGCGAGAGACAGGGGAATCCACTTCTCCCTATGTGGGTTGGAAAAGCCAGTCAACAGACCAAGAATGGTTGGGCAGGGGGAGGAAGTTAGTGGGATGGAAGGGTGGAGATAGGGACAGGGGAGACCAGGTCCTGAAACGCTGGAGCACCGGCTTCTTTGCCTGCTAGCGCCACGTCGACTTACTTAACTTTCTAAACTTTCTTGTTACCTCTTGCGTGGGAGACTTGAGTGTTCGGCTGTGGCCCTGCTGCAAGTGGCCCAGGTTCACTCTCCACCGGACAGGTCTGAACCGGCGCAGAGGCTGAGGGAACAGCGGGAGGAGTGGTGGCGGCGGCCTCTAGGGCTCAGACAACCTGCCTCAGGAGGAAGGGAGACGGATCCCGGTCGCGGAGTTCAGAAGGGGCGGGGCGGCGCGCGGAGGTGTTCCTGGGGGCGGGGCGGCGCGCGGAGGTGTTCCCGGGGCGGGGACCAGTGTTCTGGGTGGGGGAGGTGTTCCTGGGGGTTAGTGCCCAGAGACTCCCCGAGACACTCTTGGTGGGGACTGGGCCTTCGCCAGTGAGGCTGCGAGCAGCGCGAATCCTCGGTGGTGGTTGATCCGTTCTTCCCAAGCGTTCCGCTGCGGGCACCTGTCACCTAGCTCGGAGTTCCCCGGCCTCAGCATGGCGGACCAGGCGGCTTTCGACACCAACATTGTCACCCTGACCCGCTTTGTCTTGGAAGAGGGAAGGAAGGTCCGGAGCACCGGCGAGTTGACGCAGTTGCTCAACTCGGTGTGCACCGCGGTGAAAGCCATCTCCACCGCCGTGCGCAAGGCGGGCATTGCCAACCTGTGAGTCTGGCTTCCCTGCCTCTTGGCCTCCTCTGGTTCAAATGTCAGGTCTTCTGACCCTCCTACTCTTATCCTGTCTTTCCATCTGACTATGGGATTCTCTCTCATAATCTCTGTCTTTTATCCCTCTACCCTTGTTCTAACCCATGGACACCTTGCCTACCCATTATACACATCCTATCCTCATACAAGAAAGTGCTGGCACGGTTCCTTCATATCCCTTTCTTTCCTTTGTCTCTCTTCACGCTGTTTGGGATTGGGGTGCCATGCCAGATTTCTAATTCAGTGTCTTCTTAATCCTAAATATATCCTGTTTAGAGTGAGGGAAACCCTGAATAGGTGGAGGGGAAACCTGCTTGCCAGAAGTATCAGTGCTTGTGTGCCAGCCTGCTGTGCAGCAGAGGTGGCTCACAGTCTGCATTTCTAAGGTTTTCTTAGAAGCAGGCTGCCAGTTTGCAGATCACGCTGTGTGTAGCCAAGGGATCAGGGGATATAAGGATTCAAAGGGCTCCTTCTTGTGAAGCCTTTTGTAAGCAACACAGGAACCCCCCCCCCTTTCTTTGTCTGTGCGCACATGTATTTTCAATTTAGACTGATCCTCACTTTAGCTAAAGTGTACCTGAGTCTCCAGATTGCCCTTACTCCTGCCTATCATTTCCCATGTTAGAAAAACTATGGAAAGGAAGCTTTATACTTAGAGCTGGTTGGCAAAAGTATAGCCCCTGCAACCTGGACCCCTTTTGTGGGTTGGTGAAACTAACTCGTAAGAAAAGAGTGTATCTTGTTTATTTGTGATGCCAAAGAGAGATAGACCTTGTTAGGTTAGGAAGGCATGACTATAAGACTGTTTGCCTGTTGGCCCTTTTTAATTATACACTTACTCTACAGAAACTTTGCTTTAGGAAACACAGTTATAATCTTACTTTGGTTTAAGTTGCAACAAGTAAAGCTTTACCTGTCATTAAGGACCAGGGAGCTTTTTTTTTTTTTTTTTTAAAAGAATGCTTATCATTTCTTGTATTATTTTAAAATGTCAGTTCTTTCCACAACCCTGAAGAGACTCATGTACTACCTGCTTCAAGGGGTATCTTTTCCTTTTAAGTGATTTAATATAGTGGGACACTAGAATTTGATTGTGGGACTAGGAATAATTTTGGATATATAAAATATATATTAGGCTAGTAGTTGTGAATATCACATTTTTTAAAGAAAGATTTGCTTATTTATGTATTACAGAACTGGGGTATAGGCCAGAGATGCAGGGGCGGTGAGAAGATTCACCAGAAACAGTGGGGAGCAGAACAGGCTGACTGATGAAGTACACTGCTGAGGGGAGCAGGAGAGGTCTGCCATGCCATGTGTATCACCTCTTGGGCAGGTGGGAATTGAGCTCATGCTGAAGTGGCTTTAGCTTCTTAGTACTGTACTTTACCCTGCTGTGCCACCAGGGAGGACCCGAATATCACATATTTAAAAGGTATTGTTGTAATTGTAAACCAGTTAATAAGTTGCACTTATTGACAAAATTCAAATTATTTCAAAGTACACAAAGAGAAATATGAAACTGATCTCATAACCATTCCTGGAGGTATCCTCTATGAATACTTTATTGGTTATTTTCCAGATACCTCTTTATATGCATATGCATTCATGCATAAATATATATTTACATAAGTCCATTGGTAATTACTAGGCAAAGTGGATCACACTTAACATATTCTTCTGCAACAACATGTAATGAACATGTTTCATTGTCAGGCCACATAAATCTATTTTCTTTTTGTTAACACTGTTATAATGTTCTGCTGTTTAGATACTATGACCTGTTTAGCTCTTTGCTATGTTAGGACATTTCACAGCTCTTCCACTATTTCAGACAGCTTTGTATGGGTGGAGCAGGTGTTGATGCTTGGTGGTATGAGTAAATGACAGGGGAGAGCCAGATCCCACACTCCCATGGGAAAAAAGGAGTGCAGCTATCTCTATATACCATATAGTTAGCTAGGCACCAATAAGACAAGATCTCAAGTCAGGTGCCCAAATTACATACATTATTGACTTTGATATCCTTGATGGAAAAGCCAGTATGCTTGCCAACAGTTTGTTTTTGCTAAATATTTGTCCTGTAAGGGCTTGTAAACATAGGGACAATGTGACTGCAGATTTTCAGAACATCACAGGGAACCAGTTTGTGTAACTTGACCATGATATCTCATCAAGGAAACATCAGGATCTTAATTATAAAGCCTAGAGAGTGTTCCTTCCCCTCATAGTTGCTGTTACAACCATTTTCATTGTTCTTAATTTCATTGTTCATAAAGCCCTAGAATTTTAAGCCGAAACTCAGAAGTCACTTAGTCAAACCTAACTCATATGAGGATCCTGGCACCAGGAAAGATGAGCTGGTTTGGTCAGCATACCACTCATGGTATGGTCTGCCATCTTTTCTTTCACCTTTTAGAAGTTAGTTATACTAATACCTGGCACTAAATCTCATCTATTAAGTACATTTTTTTGTGTGTGTCTGGATTTAAAGTTGTTTCCCAAGACTCATGTTAGCAAACACATTCTTGAAGCCTCACCTATGTGTGCTAACTCCCCTTTAGGGATAGAGGGAAAGGATGCTAGTCCAGATAAGGGACTCCCCACCTTTTATTCTCTCATGAGGACAGCAGCTTACAAGTCAATCTGATAGACTCCTGTTTCAAATTAACTATTCTTCTGTCTCTTTGATTTCATTCTGGAGAAAGCAGTTCTCCCACTGGCTTTTGCCTAGGTATGTGTGGTTGGCAGTCTGAAGAATTCACTGGTTCCATTTCATTCAATAAAATATTACTGAACACCCACAATAAGCAAAGTTCTAGGAGATACTGAGATCAAAATGAGACAGTACTTACACTATGGAAAACAAAACATGAAATAAAGTTAGATAAATGACACAACAGAGGTTCTTATAAATGTTACCAGTCAAAAATATGATGTCTTGGGGCATCATGTCCCTGAGCGAGTGAAACTTGGCTAAGGTATGAAATAGAACTTTCCATGCCTTCTTCAGTGTCTCATTCATCTTCTGAAGTCCTGTAGGCCTCACAGGGACTGTGACAGTGGCTTCCTCTAGTTCTCTAAGGTTTGGAACAACTTGAGAAGTTGGTTACTGTTGCACTCATTTCTTCAGCCTCATGTTTCTGCTCTTCTTGGTGACTGTCATTCAATTATCCAATAAGCATTATGCTGGAGGCTGGGGACAAGAGGAGAAATACAGTTCCTCTGTCCTCATTCTCATAGAAGAAAGTGATGAGCCAACCATGCTAATGTAATGGTGGATGAATCCTGGAGACACCTTCTTTCTGGGCCAAGATGAGATGGCAAGGTTCTTTCAGAATGAGGTCTCACCTCCTCTCTGCCATGAAGCCTATGCTCTTTTCCATCAACACTATTCATCCTCCTAAATTAAAGATGATTTCAATGGTGAAAATATCAAGCTACTAAGGAGAGAAAATTGGCACCAGTAGGGCTTGTAAGGGGAATGTATTTGAGTTGGTGGGCCATGACAAAACCTGGTAGCTCCACCCAGAATTTGACCATTCTTTCTCCACCAGTGCTGGCTTCACAGTTCAGGTGAGACTGTAGTTGCAGTCTTATAGATGTCTTGGTCTTTTACATCTTTTACCTGACTTAGGGTGACATGGTAAGAAGAGACAAGTGGGAAGGAAGACTGAAGGAGGAGATGCTGTTCTCTAGGTGGGCAGTAATGCTGAAAATGACCATCCCTGCAAAATGGATGTAATGATATTCCTTGTCTCCTGTAGGCAAGGAATTTTGGTTTGGAAATTCCTGGTGTTTTGTTTAGAAACATAAAGTGATGTTCAGAGAAAATGTATGGGAACTGAAGCAGTGGATGCCTTTACAATCAGTTTTCAGGCAAATGTTCCTAGCTGCCTCAGCCCAGGATGCAAGTTGTGTCCTTATCACCCACTTGCAATTGTAGGACCTTGTCTTTGATATTTGTCTTTTTCCTCCCACTTGCCTGTCTCTCATCTTATTCTGTGTATTGGTTCTCTAGAACACTTCCCTTCTCTCTTTTCAGCATGCTTATTCAACCTGTTTCCTCCCTTATTTTAACAAGTGAGGCTGCATTTTGGGCAAGTCACACAAATTTTGGGAAATTCCATGTTTAAAAAATTACAGATATCTTGAAAATAAAATAGAATTCCAGCCTTCCCATGTTTTCCATCTCCCTAATGCCAGGAACAGTGGGTTATCACCCTGGTCTGTAAGTTACACTGAATTTCCCATCTCTTCTTTACCTCTTCAGTTTGGACAAGACTATTGGTCCCAGAATGATCTTCTTCCTTTATAAAGTGAGGTGTTAGGACAAGGAAATATTTCTTTTTTTTTTAAGGAAAATTTTAGCTATAAAACCATATAATACCTTGGCTTAGTTCACATCTTATAATTCCTGCTATCCAGGAATTATATAATTATGCTTGCTGCATCTTTCAACTGGTGTCTTATGCAAGTGTTCAGGGAGAAAAAAAATGTTTCTGGGGAGGTGAAAAAATTAATAATTTTGTGTATAAAGCAGATATACTCATAAACATATATACTCTATTTTTGTAGTATTAAAATTAAAATTTCATGGAGGAGTGTGACTAATAGGGAAAATGTCTAAAATGCTTCATAAGCGGCAATATTAGGGAAAAATCAAAGTAAAAGAAGTAGCACTATGAATTTAATCATAAATATGTGCAAGTACTGGGACAAAGGTAAGTGATAATATTTCCTTCTCACAAGGAACTAACCCAGAGGGCACACCACTCTTGTTTTTTGTTTCTTGCAAATAATGTAGCTTCATTTATTTCTTGTAAGTACCTGTTTTCAGTTGGGTTCATAGGTATATCTGCATATTCCTGTGATCATGGCTTATATTTTCTGTGACCTTTCTTCCCTCTAGCTATGGAATTGCTGGTTCTACAAATGTGACGGGTGACCAAGTCAAGAAGTTGGATGTCCTCTCCAATGACTTGGTTATTAACATGTTAAAGTCATCCTTTGCCACCTGTGTGCTTGTGTCTGAAGAAGATAAAAACGCCATAATAGTAGAACCTGAGAAAAGGGTGGGTCTGCACTTCTACTCTTGGGGGATTTAAGGGAACCATTTTTCTTCCTAGATTCATAATTCATTCAACAAATCTGAATTTCTAGAAATTATCTGAAATTCTTCCTTTATCATCATTTCAAAGATTTCATCTTATTACCAGAGCTCAAATCTGTCTTTCTTTATCCAACAGCTCATGCTGTTGCTAGCTCACTGTATCCGTAACAGACTCACATGTATTCACACTCACTTCTACATTTTATTGTTTTGTTCAAATATATTCAAATTATGACTTTTGTCAAATATCTCTTTTGCTTCATCTATGGCCACCAAATTTTCAACTTTCACAATCAACTGTCCTGCCAGTATAAACTTCTTTGAAATAGTTATTAATGACTCATGCACTGAAACACACTGGGATCCTTATCAATTTGATTATTCTCTGAGGACAGAGCATGAGTTACATTTTTTGTTGCATCCCAAAATTTAGTATATTGTAGAGCTTAATAGTAAATTATTGTTGAATTTAAAAACTTGGAGGTGAGAAGTGTAGTTATATATTGGCTTATTATCTTTCCCTATTTGGGATGATTTGGGGTATGGAGGAATAGAACTAGAAAATAACAACCAAGAGATGAACATTAAGAGACTGATGTTGAGTCTTGACCTTTGTTAGAAGAATAAAGAGTCACATTCATTCCTCAAATACTACTCCATGTTGGATTCAAAGTTCATGCTGTTCTCTGGTGGGCTTTTTGAGGTAGTGGATAGTTTTAGGAATTGAGTTTGTTTCATATTCTCTATAAATCCCATTTCCAGATGGCACTCTCTCCTGTATCAGGCAGGGCAATTTGTTGAGAACAACAGATCAAGGAATTAGTTGTCTTAATTTGAGGCAGTACAGCTAAAAGCCACTTCTTGAAGTGAATAATTTGGAGGTGGAAAAATCACCACTGATGTATTGGTGAATTGACTCTTAGAAAAGAGCTCAAGCATATCCAAAATATGAATCACATGACTCATAACAGGGAGTATTTTCTTAGGGAAATACAATTGAAATATTGGTGATTATTTCATGTCCTACAAACTCAGGTGTTCTATAAGATGGCATGAGAAATTTCTAGTAGCATTTAATATCAACTTTGCTTTACCTCTGGAATTTTTATATTTTCTCCTTATGAATAAGGAGAAATAGGTAACTAATTTTATTTATTTTTCTTTGGTTGCCAGGAAACTCAAACCAAAATTATCATTCATCTGTATCAGTGTAGGAAATTTCAACTACATTTCCCATTCTAGTTTGTATTTTCTCTGCCTAATGGTCTTTTGACATTGATATACACATGCCCATAGGTGCACATATATGTATGTATTCATTTTTTACTTTCATTCTGGATGCTACCTCATATCTTCCATGACAGCATAAATAAGACTCACATTCCTGAACTTTCCTCTAGAGTCTCCTTTTTTATTGTTTAGTGCATACTGTGTTTTGTTATAATGTGTCTATTTTATTTTGTGTAAAAATAAATTTTTTTTATTTTTTACTTTTTACTCAGGGTAAATATGTGGTTTGTTTTGATCCCCTTGATGGATCTTCCAACATTGACTGCCTTGTGTCCATTGGAACCATTTTTGGCATCTACATGAAGGTAAAATGAAATTCATCAAATATTTGGTTTGAGGTTGAAAGGAAAATTAATATTGCTTATTTTGTTCTGTTTCACTAATGGTGGAACCACCAGAATGTAAATCATAAAATTAGTGAAACAGGTTTATTTTTAAGTTTTGCCTTTTTCAGTATTAACTGCATGATGAAGATACACTAAGTTGTTATCAGAAAATGTAGCAAAATGTGGGTGGGAAGAGAAATATACAAAATAATGAATTATCTTTTAGCTGTTACTTGTTTAGTTGGTGGCACATGAAATTAAAAATAAGAGACAACATAGAATAATTGTAGCAATTAATTAAAAGCCAGTTTTTAAGAGACAAAATCTAAGGAAATGAGATTTATATGAAATTCAATTTCATTGTTTGTAAATAAAGTTTTAATGCCATATAGTCTGCACATTTGTGAACTTGTTGCTTTGTCTGAATTTGAGTTGCAAAGTAGGGTTAAGTAATCATGCTTCAGACTATATGAGAGTCAAATCTAGAATGCTTACTATCTGGGAAGATTTTGTTTACCATGCAGAAAGCGCATTGGTGCAGACACTCAGACACCGCCCTGTGTAACTTGGGCGGTCACTGTACCTCCAAACTATCTCTTTCCTCTTTTCTCTTTAGCAGTATTTATGTGTGTGTGTGCTGGTGGAAGAGTGATCAAGTATATAGACAAGTGAAAAATTTAATGAATACCCATGGATCCATCATAAAACATGAAATTTGAAGTATGCCATCTCATTCCGGCTCTTCTTGTCTGTTTTAGAAGTAACCTCATAGATGCCATTAAGGCTGAGACTCTTTCTTCATCTTAATGGACAAGGAGCTACTTCAGCTGACCTCTGAGATTCCTCCTAGCTCCTCTAATTTAGAGGTGTGAGAATGCAATAGACACTTTTTCAGTATTTGCTTTTCTGTGTAGTACAGCCTATAACTCCTTTCAAATATATGGGACATAGACTATATAACATAGCTCCTTTTTAATCACTGGAATATATTTTCCTTTGTCAAATTGAGTAATAAAAGGTTTGAATTCTCATATCAGAAAGGAAAAGCAACTTGGATTTTTTCCAAGTCTGCTTGGAAAAAGATAGAGGGATGTAATTTTACCTGCAACGTGTCAAAGCCGTGTTTTGCAACACAATTTGTACCAAAGTTCTTCTGTGGAAGAAGGGATCTGGTTAGTGACTCAACTCAAACTCAAGTTAATGTTTGCCTTGTCCCAGTATCTATCCCAATCCTCCTTTTTATTTTTTTTTATGAAGACTTAAAAATTATTTATTTATGCTTATAGAACTGGGGTATAGGTCAGAGGCACAGGAGCAGTGGGAAGATTCACCAGAGACAGAGCAGGGTGCAGAACAGGCTGATTGATGAAGTGCACTGCTGAAGGGAGCAGTCGGGGGGGGGTGCGTGTCAGGAGATGTCTGCTGCACCATGTGGATCACCTCCGAGGCAGGTGGGGATTGAACTCATGCTGAAGTGGCTTTAGCTTCTTAGTGCTGTGCTAAGAACCCACTGTGCCCCCAGGGAGGGTCTTTTTAAAGATCCTTTGAAGGAAAACATGACCTAGAAAGCTGAGATACTATTAACTAAAAAAAATCAAGTTGTCTTGCAAAACATCTTGAATTATCCTAAATCAACTCAACAATGAATGTTTACACTCTTCTCAATAAATTTGAGTGACTCTTTTAAAGGCCTTAAAGAGACAAGGATATTGAAACTCATCTGTAAGTCATTGCACTTTTCTAATGTTTTATTGGTTATTTGAAACCATTTGAGAGTCTTCTGCTTCACAGAATACCTTTTCTGCTAGCCCAGAGATGGTCTGGGTTAGTAATCAGCCCCCTGGTGTACCTGCTGAGTGACACTGATACAGGGCAGCAAGGGGTACTAGAATTGCCTAAGGACACTAACCAAATAATTTGTCAGTCACTTTCTGAGTTCTTCACCTGTATGCACAATTGCAAGACTACTCAGTTTCAGGGAACAATAATGGGTTTTATTTAACAAACTAAAGAAAGATCCTCCCTGGTGGTGCAACGGGTTAAAGCTCAGCACTACAAGCGAGCTGAAGTTGCTTCAGTGCGAATTTGACCCCTGTTCCTGTAGGTGATCCACATAGTGCAGCAGACTTCTCTTGTCTCACCCCGTTCTCCCCTCAGAAAAACAAAAAGTAACTCAGGCCAAAGATGGTCATTTACCTCACCTGAAGCAACGTCCACTGTTTTAAACACACTCCCAAGACGGTGTCTTCCCAGAACTGCAGACCTGAAGCACATGGCAACTAGACTATAGGCAGGACCCAACTTATGAGGATAACTGAAGACACAACAGGAGATGCTCACTGGAGCTGCTGAGATGCCCAGCACCAGAAAAGTGGCACTCAAAACAGCAGTTGCAGAAGCTGAATCAATCTATAAACAGCTACACTCATGCAACTTAAAGAGGTGCCCTGCCAGGCTGTAACAGCAGCAAAACGGGGAACAGTGTCAGTCTCTTGGCTACTTGCAGAGCTTCCAAACTTTTCCCCTCTGAGGTTGGCTGCTTGAAGTTTCTTCCTGTCCATTAGGGGCCTACAATAGCCTTCTGGAAGATATGCTTGATGGGGGCAGGAACTGCTGACTCTGGAATCACTGAAGAGCCTCAAAAGCTGAAGTCCCAAAGGCTTAATCCTCAAATGCCGATTCCCTAATACTGATTTCTGGGGCTGCTTCTGCAGTCCCTCATATTTCTTTGATCAGAGTCTCTACCCCAAGTGTGACACTTTGTTTATATTTTTTTTGGGGCTATCTATCTTCACCAGCATTCTCTTCCAAAGGAGGGCTTCAGCCCTGGTTACAACACAATTAGTGACTAGAATAGCGATCAGACCTAGTCCATGTGATGTCTGCAGTTGGTCTGTAAAAGGACCTCAAAGAGAGGTCCAGTGATCTATGCAGGTCCTGCTGCAGCTCCTCCCAGGAGCTTGCCTGCCTCTAGAGATATCTAGAATTGCCCTGTGGTGTTGGGTTCCAGTTGTTAGAATGCCTGTGCCAATACTTAAGTCAGAAGTCTGTTTCCCTATCAGCAATTCAAGTGAAATATGTAAGCCTCTTTCCAACAGTTCCAAGAAAATCATCTCATCAGCCCTAATTTCTTGGCTTAGGTCATGTTCACATTCTTCAAACAATCAGCATGGCCTGAGGCAAACAATTATCTGGTTGGACAGATCAGAGTCACATGCCCAGACTGGAGGGCAAAGGAAGCAGTATCTTCAAGATTAAGTTATAGTTATCAGTAGAAGTGTAATCAGCCTGATGTCCATCACAGATGACAAATTCTTTAAAGTAGAGGTCATATCTTACTTTTTTTTTGTCTGAGGGTATAATAGTATAATAGTATACTACATACTATAATATATAATATACTATAATAGTAGATATAGTATATATATAGTATACCATAATAGTAGAACAATATTGACTGCCAAATGCTCCATGAGACATCTAAAAGAGCTTGGCTTACATTTGACGGAAGATTACTTAGTCCACTTCTGCCCAGCTTTCTACCACTTCAAGTTTGTAGGATCCACTGTGTCTTCACCAATATTTACTAGAGGGGAATGTGGAAAGGAGTTGGACAGATAGAGAGAGGTGGGACCCAGAGGCTTCCTAATTTTGCCAAGTGTTTGATGCAACCAACTAAATAACTGTTAGGGGTAGAAAATTGCTCTCACAAATTTGCCCAGAGGAGCATAGCTGCATTTCCACAGTCCCACAATCCAAACTTGAATGACCTGTAATCGTCTGAATGAAGGAATTCACAGAATAGATTACCTGAAGTAGAAGAATTACTGCTGGAGGTTTGGCAGAAGGAATCCATACATTAGAAAGGGGCAGGTTAGAAAAGAATTTCTTTGAATTCTTGACTTAATCTTCTATTTCTTTGGAGTATGTTGATGATAGACAATACTACCTTTTCTTATTCTATGGAAGAAATAAAGGTAAGCTTATTAGGTGGCAAGGGCAAGCTAATTACTCCTGCATCTTTACCACAGGTAAGTATGGTGGCTTTGTATAAGGAGGGGGGTCTGGGGGGCTTTTCTTTGTAGGGACTTGGTTACTTGGTGTCTTCCAGTCGATTCATTTGTGTACATGTTACCTTTGTCTGATTTTGCACTGCCCTATAAAAGTTAAGTAGTCATGATAGAATATAGTTTGAGGTCTCACTGTATCACTGCTTGAAGGAAACTTCTTTCTTCAGGGTTATACACTGGCAAAATTTGGAATTTGGAAAAACAACTTAAAAATTTGATACACTGCTTAATATTTAACCATACTGCATGATCCTGTAAATACAAAGCTAACTTCATCAACCAATTTGATGCAAGCAACTAACACCAACCAATCATTAGGGATAGAAAAGGGCCTTCACACACTCCCTCAGAGGAGCACAGCTGCATTTCCAGAATCCCACAATCCAAGGTTTCAAGGTTTGGCAGGCCTGGGAACAATCTTTCAACTCTAATTTCTGCCTATTGGAAAGGAGGAAGAGAGGGAGGAGTTCCAATCAGTTCCAGAATATGGAGAAGTGATGGGAGCAAGATATGCATGATTAAGAGGATCCCTCCCCACCCAGAAAGAAAAAAATCCTTAAAAACCCTAATGCTTTACTGCATTTCTCCTGCTTTCTGAGACTTGCCCACTGCTTCTGCAGTGTTCTGTCCTACAGATTCCTAATAAACTTGGTTGCTGGCTTCAGTCTATGCTTCTTGAAATTCTTTCCTCGAGAGACACCAAGCAAGGACCCTCGGGTATTGTGATCTTCAACACAATCAACCATCTGCTCTACCCTGTATGATCTTTGGAGAGATGTTTCCATATTTCTGAGAAAGTGTGAGTGATATGCCTACTGCTCAGTGAGATATTTGTCACAACTGACAAGGCTCATGAAATTGATTTCTTTCCCTGACTCATATTCCTGAAGCCCAATCTTAATTTGTTTAAATAAAGATGGTGTAGGCAGGTGAAAGACATTCATGCCTATAATAAGATAAGTAAGTGCAAATTGGCAAGAAGCCATATTTTATAAAGTGATAATTGAGCACTGAAGGGATATGAAATTGGTAACAAAAGAGGACTCTGATTTATTTCCAGATTTAGGAAATTTGGGGTATGGTGTGAAGGCTGTTGTGATAATATAATCAAGATATTACTGATGTGTGAAGGAGGGTCCTTCTGAATAGATGTCCTGTTTCAACTTGACAATATATTTGCATTTCAGTTGAACTAAAAAAAAATCACACAGAGTGAAAAAGATGCTTTGTTTTCTTTAATATTCTAGAAATCAACGGAGGAACCTTCTGAGAAGGATGCTCTACAGCCAGGCCGGAACCTGGTGGCGGCTGGCTACGCATTGTATGGCAGTGCCACCATGCTGGTCCTGGCTATGGCGAATGGTGTTAATTGTTTCATGCTAGACCCGGTGAGGAAACCCCTGGGAGCTTAGGTGCTTGGCTGGTGACTGTGAGTGAAAGCATGGTGTGTGTGTGTATGAACATGGGCAGGGATATTAGAGAAGGAAGATGAGACTCATGGTGGGACAGAGTTTCAGAAATTTATGGGATAGAGAAGTGGATGAGGGAGATGGAAAGATAACATGTAGGTCATGAGAAAATAACAGACCTGAAAAGTATATGTATAGAATATAAGAGGGATTGTTTGTCTCAAGAATAATATTTTAGAATGGGGCATTATTCAACCACCACATGGATATCCAGGACACACAAATGAAGTGTGCCATGGAAGGAAGACCAGGGACACTGGGGGAGCCAGGGGGAGCTTGAGAGGCCCACAGATGTTACTGTTTGGGCAGGGAATCTTACCAGGGCTTTCAATGTCTCAAGAAACACTGGCTTTAAAAGAAAAAAAAAAGTAATATTTCTAGACTTTAAAAACAGGGTGCTGGTTAATTTAAATAAATTTATGGTGTAGATGGGACCTGTAGTTGGTCTGTTTGTCACCTACTATATACTACTAGCTTATTTTCCTGAAGTGAACAGGGTATTCCAAATGCAATTGTGGACCACTGTAGCTTTTCATACATTAAACAGCATCAAATAAATTTGGTAGCTATTTATGAAGAATTAATGTGTGCTTCTAATAGTTCTTTGCTGAACTCAAGGAAGTAAAAATAAGGATAATTCCTTAGTTTGCCTTGTAAAGAAATGTTGCCTTGTAAAGAAGTGCTACCTTGTAGAGAGGAGCTCAAGATTCCATGAAAAGTATTCATTACAGTTTTCATTTATGGATAATTTCTTCCGTATGTTTATTAATTGGAATTATGTATTCAGTCAGTTAAGTGAGAGTCTCAACAAAGCAGATAAATTGGGGAAAGAAATCTGATACAATAATTATTTCCAGGGAAAGGGAAAATAATTGGATTTATAAGAATCTTCTAGATTTAGAAATTTATTTGTATGGCATTCATAAATGATTCATTTATATGTTTTGATTTTTTGCTGACAAACTGAACATACAAGCAAGCCCTGTTAGTAGGGGAGTGGCTGATGGGGTAGCCTGGAGGTTGGTGTGGGCAGGTGTTATAATTGCGGAGACAGCTGCCTTTGTCCCCAGAACTCTTGCACAACTGGACTTTACCTCTTTGGAAGCACAGGAGCTTAATAAATAAACAAGTAGAGGGAGACAGTGCTAGTTTAAATTTCCCAATGAGGCAGAACCAGAACCCAATGAGGCAGAAACAGAGCAGAGTTCACTCTGAACTCTGAGTACAGTTTCTCAAATACTGATTTTTTCACATTCTCTTAGAGACTTTGCTGTTACTTTGAATTGATCAATATGTAGAAAAAGTGAAATTTCCTCTGTGTCTAGGTTGTAGAACAGGATCTGTCTGTTTGAAAACTGTTTGCCCTCTTCATACCTCAGAGTCACCTAGTGCTTGTAGGAACACTTCCTGCTGCAATGCAATATTCCCCTTAGGCTCCATCCCTGTCTCCCTGAACCTTCCTTAGTTAGCCTCAGAGCAGCTTGGCAACTTCTACTTATTTTGGCTAGCTGCAAGGAGAAGCTGATTGAACTTCTAAAAAGATTGCAACAGCTATATTAGCTTTTCTAGCAGGTTTTAATTTTCAAGAACTTTCTCAGTCTTCCATTTCCAAGTACAAAAGATGTCCTTAGCTTGGCAGCTAAGGCCAGATGACTGCAAAGCCTCAATTCCTGGGCCCTACAGTACCTACTGTGCAAAGGCTTTATTTTTCAGACTGTTTTCTAAAGATATTTGTTTGTTCAATGGTCATAAAAGAGTAATCAAAAATTTTGGAAACACAAAGTGGTAAAAAATTTTGGAGGTGTTAAAGTCACAAAATAATCTCACGCTATACTTTTCAAATGACCACTGTCAGTTTTAATCACTTTCCTCTTCCATTCCCCTTTATAAGCTCTTTCCTCCCCTTCTTGTCCTACCTTCTCTTTTCCCTTCCTTTGTCGTTCCAACATTGTCCATATCTGTAGAAATGAATCAATTCTTGTTTCCAAGGCATATGCCCTCCCTACAGTGGTAGAAGCTCTTTCTCTGGCCAGTGACAGAAATAGCCCTAAGCTATCCTCAGTCCAGAGCACCAGTTAAAAAAACTTGATTTGAATTTTCTTTGAAGACTGCACATCAGCACAGCACTAAGTTTGGAAGGAGAGCCAGGATGAAAAACATGGCTTGGTAGTGAAACTCATGGTTCTGCTCTTATTTTATTTTTGATGGCAGCACATTAAAGGGAGAAATCTTATCAAGAGAAATGGTATTAGGCTATATACAACTACGAAAAGGACCTAATGTAGTAGGACCATATGGATTACTTCAACCAATTGCTGATGCAGTAAAATTATTCACAAAAGAACCATTACGACCACTAACATCATCAATTTCCATATTTATTGCAGCTCCAATCCTCGCATTAACACCAGCCCTAACCATATGAATTCCACTGCCAATACCCTATCCACTAATCAGTATGAATCTAAGCGTATTATTCATCCTAGCGGTTTCAAGTCTAGCTGTATATTCAATTCTATGATCAGGATGAGCTTCAAATTCAAAATATGCCCTAATTGGAGCCCTACGTGCAGTAGCACAAACCATTTCATATGAAGTAACACTAGCAATTATTCTATTACCCATTTTATTAAAAAGTGGATCATTTTCACTATCCAACATAATTATCACACAAGAATATACATGACTTCTATTCTCATCATGACCACTAGCCATAATATGATTTATCTCTACCCTGGCAGAAACAAACCGAGCCCCATTTGACCTAACAGAGGGGGGATCCGAATTAGTTTCAGGATTTAACGTAGAATATGAAGCAGGTCCATTTGCCCTATTTTTCCTAGCAGAATATGCAAACATTATTATAATAAATGTTCTAACTACAATTCTATTCCTAGGTTCATTCCACAGCCCTATCATACCAGAATTATACTCCATTAACTTTATAATCAAAACCATATTCTTAACAATCTCATTTCTATGAGTACAGGCCTCAGACCCTCGATTCTGATATGATCAACTAATGCATTTATTATGAAAAAACTTTTTACCACTAACACTAGCCCTATGTATATGACATATATCACTTCCGGTATTTACATCAGGAATCCCACCCCAAATATGGATATGTCTGATAAAAGAGTTACTTTGATAGAGTAAATTATAGAGGTTCAAGCCCTCTTATTTCTAGAATTTCAGGAATCTAACCTGTTTGTAAGACTTCAAAAATATTACACCATATTCTATAGTAAGGTCAGCTAAATAAGCTATTGGGCCCATACCCCGAAAATATTGGTTTATATCCTTCCCATACTAATAAATCCCTTAGTATTTTCCACAATTGCATTTACCGTAGCATTAGGAACAACCATCGTACTAATTAGTTCTCACTGATTAATAATCTGAATCGGCTTCGAAATAAACATACTAGCTATTATTCCCTTATTAATAAAAAACCTTTAACCCACGATCAATAGAAGCCACAACTAAATATTTCCTAACACAAGCAACTGTCTCAATACTACTCCTACTAGCAATTATTATTAATCTAACTTAGGACAATGAACTACAATATAAATATTTAATCCAAAAACATCACTAATAGTAACAGTTGTCCTAATCATAAAACTTGGTGTAGCCCCATTCTACTTCTGAGTACCAGAAGCAACCCAAGGAATTCCTCTTACCTCAGGAATACTATTACTAACATGACAAAAAATTGCACCACTCTCAGTACTTATCCAAACAATTAATACCGACCTACTACTAACTACAGCGATTTTATCAATTGCAGTAGGAGGCTGAGGAGGACTAAACCAAACAACTACAAAAAATCATAGCATATTCATCAAGCGCACATATAGGATGAATAACCGCTATCCTAATTTACAATCCAACTGTAACGATTCTAAACCTAACAATCTACATTATAATAACACTCACAGTATTCATGATACTCCATTTCAACTCATCAACTACTACCCTATCACTATCACACCTATGAAATAAAATACCACTTACATCAACACTAATCCTATTAACAATATTATCATTAGGAGGACTTCCTCCCCTATCAGGACTCATACCCAAATGAATAATCATTAACGAATTAACAAAAAATAATAACATCATCATACCCACAATAATAGCAATTATAGCCTTACTAAACCTATACCTCTATATACAACTTACTTATTCTACATCACTAACATTATTCCCATCAACAAACAATATAAAAATGAAATGGCAATTCAAAAACACAAACAAAAAATTCCACTATTATCACCACTATTTATTCTATCAACTATACTATTACCTTTAACACCAATGCTAATAACATTAGAATAGAAGTTTAGGTTAAATCATCAGACCAAGGGCCTTCAAAACCCTAAGCAAGTACAAATTACTTAACTTCTGCTAAGGATTGCAGGACTCTATCCTACATCAATTGAATGCAAATCAACCACTTTAATTAAGCTATACCCTTATCTAGATTGACGGGCTATAATCCTGCAAATTTTAAGTTAACAGCTAACTACCCTAATCAACTGGCTTCAATCTACTTCTCCCGCCTTAGAAAAAAAAAAAAAGATTTAGGTGGGAGAAGCCCCTGCAGAATTGAACCTGCGTCTTTGAATATGCAATTCAGTGTGAAATTTCACCACAAAGCTTGGTAAAAAGAGGACTTAAACCTCTATCTTTAGATTTAAAGTCTAATGCTTACTCAGCCATTTTATCTATGTTCATCAACCGCTGATTATTCTCAACAAATCATAAAGATATTGATAAATTGTGTTTACTATTCGGAGCCTGAGATGGAATAGTTGGCACAGCCCTAAGTCTACTCATTCAAGCTGAACTAGGACAACCAGGGTCTTTGCTAGGTGATGACTAAATCTACAATGTAATCGTAACAGCCCATGCATTCGTAATAATTTTCTTTATAGTAATACCAATTCTTCTAGGAGGCTTTAATAACTGGAGCTCCAGATATAGCATTCCCATGAATAAACAACATAAACTTCTGATTATTACCCCCATCATTCCTATTACTACTAGCATCATCCACAGTTGAAGCAGGTGCTGGTACTGGATGAACTGTTTACCCTCCTCTCGCAGGAAATCTAGCTCATGCAGGAGCTTCTGTTGATCTAGTTTTCTTCTCCCTTCACCTAGCAGGTGTATCATCCATCCTAGGGGCAATTAATTTTATTACTACTATTATTAACATAAAACCACCAGCAATATCACAATATCAAACACCGTTATTTATATGATCAGTGCTAATTACTGCTGTATTACTGTTATTATCACTACCAGTGTTAGCAGCAGGCATTACAATATTATTAACAGACCGAAATTTAAACACAACATTCTTTGACCCAACTGGAGGAGGTGACCCAATTCTATATCAACATCTATTCTGATTTTTCGGGCACCCAGAAGTATATATTCTAATTCTTCCTGGGTTTGGACTAATTTCACATATCGTAACTTACTATTCAGGAAAAAAAAAAAAAGAACCATTTGGTTATTATATTATTGCAATTATATTTCTTATAGCTGAATAGTATTCAATTGAGTATTGAGTAGTATTCAATTGAGTACCACATCTTTTTCCCCCCTTTTTTAAAGATTAATTTATTTATGCAGATAGAACTGGGGGTAAAGGCAGAGGGGGAGGGAGTGAGAGGATTCACCAGAGACAGAGTGGTGAGTAAAACAGGCAGATGTACTGGAGTACACTGCTGAGGGGAGCAGCGGGCAGGTCAGGAGAGGTCTGCCACTCCATGTGGGTCACCTCCCTGGCCAGTGATTCAACTTGTGCTGCAGGGGCTGCAGTAGCTAGATAGTGCTGTGCTTTAACCTGTTATGCCACCAGGGAGGGCCCACATCTGTACCTAATTATCTACTGATGTGCACTTAGGTATTTTCGTACCTTGGCTGTTATAATTCGTGCTGTGGTGAATATAGGGGCACAGCAATCTTTCCTAGTGTTCATACAATGTACATGGCCTTTGAGGAGATTAGGCTTAGTGAAATAAGACTTTTTATAAAAAGACAAATGCTGTATGATTTGATTCATATGTGAATCAAAGCAACTGAATAAAACAAACCCTTAGATTCTTATGACAGAATGGTGTAGGTGGGAAGAATGGGTAGAGGGAGTCAATTGGATGGAAACTAGACCTTTGAGCATATATGTGATGTGGTATATATGTATGTTGTGTGAAGCTTATACAGTATAAGCCAATATTATCTCCCTCTCTCTTTTTTAGTTTGTAAATTAAAAACAGCATGCTGAGAGAAGCCACAAGCATGTGTCACTCAGCTGCCCCCATATTTTCTGTCAGCCCATTGCCCATCTATACTGACAATCATATTTTTCCCCCAAAACATAGGTCTTGTGTTGCTTTGGATACACAATTCTTAATCTCCTTTAGGCTATTTTACATTTTTCTGCCCTCCCTACTTGTGTATTTCTTGTTTTACTGAAACCATTTTAAAAACAAAGTAAAAAATGTCCTCCATGACATCTGCAGTACATACCTATCTCCCCAGTTCTGACCATTGATGCTCCCTAACCTGCTTCACGGTTATGGGAGAGAGAGTCCCCAGTGTTCTGGGGCTCAGAGAAGCTCCCCTGACATGGGTGACCCATGATCTTGTTGCCCCTGGCCCAATCCCACCCTTCTTTTCAGGACTGGAGGAGACAGCTTTTCACCCCTCTCCCTTCTTTTCCTTCCTCTTCACAGGCCATCGGAGAGTTCATTCTAGTGGACAGGGATGTGAAGATTAAAAAGAAAGGGAACATCTACAGCCTCAATGAGGGCTATGCCAAGGACTTCGACCCAGCAGTCTCTGAGTATATCCAGAGGAAGAAGTTTCCCCCAGTGAGTGAGGACCCCTGCAGAAATGTGTTGGTTCATGATTTACCCTGGAAGTGGCTTGGGTACCACTGTGCTACCCATCATTAAGTCACCACTTATGTACTGGGGACTGGAAACCTTGCCTCAAGATGTCACAATCTAAGGCGTCATGTTTACTTTTGGCAGAAAGAAATCAAGATAATGAAATTAATTGATGAATGAGTTTATGACAATAAAACATATTTCACTTCTGTGGTCTCTGATCCCAGATGGCTGTAAAAGTGGTTATCACCCCTTGGGGCAAGCCCTACAGCTTTTGATGGATTATTTTTCTATCAATTTTCTCAAGATTTAAAGTGTCCATTTTGGTACAAATTACTGAAGTAAAGAAATGGATTCTTTTTCTCTGTGGGAATATTGAACTTTGCCATTTTCTTGCTGCTGTGCTGCTGTGCTCTGGGGATGGAACCAGGTGGGCATCCAGGGCACTCCAAACTGGCCTCAGACCTTCTCTCACTGTTGTTTTTCTTTCCACTTTCATGTTTCTCTTCCAATCCTGGAACCCTGCACACAAACATTCTCTTTAACCTGTCTCCTCTGCAGGATCAGTGCAGCTAATACTTGTTTCTATATTGTCAAGCCTTTGCCTATGTAATTTTCTCTCTGAAGAGGTGAAAACCCTACCTTGGGTTTGTTTGGCAAAATCTTTCCCAAACTTCAAGACCCTGCTTAACGGTACAATTTTTGTGATGCCTGTCCCAACTTTATAGCCATAGTCAGCCATACCCTCCTCCAGGCTTCTTGAGGTAATGTGACTATTGTAAGATGTATAAGAAGCTGTACTCATTATTCTATCTTCTTCTTCTTGGGAAACGAATTTTGCACACCTCTATTAGCCCAGTCCCAGAAATATAACCTCATTGGTGCTTGGTAATGATTGTTGAGCCAAATTTCAACAGTAATTTTTGCCGGTCTTAATCTTGCAGGATAACTCGCCCCCCTACGGTGCCCGGTATGTGGGCTCCATGGTGGCTGATGTGCACCGCACCCTGGTATATGGAGGGATATTTTTGTACCCAGCAAACAAGAAAAGTCCAAAAGGAAAGGTAAACAAAGTCCACTGAAAGTGGTTGAGATGCACTGAATTTCATTTGCAGCAAGGGGCCTTGTAGGTGGGGTGGAGAACTGGATGACTGAGGAAGAAGAAGGGTTGAAGTAGCGTACTCTGCAGTAGGGTATTAGGGTATCTGTGGCATGTTCTTTTCTAGATTAGAGGTTATGCTGGTTAAAACCAGGTGATAGCGGGCCCTCCCTCCCAGGTAAATGCAGCACTAAGAACCTAAAGCCACTTTAGCATGAGTTCAATCCCTGGCCCTGGAGGTGACCCAAATGGCACAGCAGACCTCTCCTGACTTGCCAACTGCTCCCCTTAGCAGTGTATTTCATCAGTCAGCCTACTGTGATCCCCACTCTGTCTCTGGTAAAGCCCCTCACCACCCCCACACCTCTGGCCTGTTCAATATGCATAAATAAATAAATCCAAACAAAACAAAACAAAGCAAAAATCCAGGTGGTAACAGCTAAAATAGATCCTGTGAGACCTCTTTCATTGCTAAAAATCAGTAATAATATTATGGTCAGAGGGGACTAGAAGAGCTTAGTGCTTCTGGTGGGTGATGGTTTGGCTTGAACAAAATGAATAAAATTCATAAGTGAGTGCAATAGTACAGCCTTATTACCCAGGCAGCATATCAAATACAACTTCAAATAGAGGTTTTCTTTGATTACTTTCAAAAGGCATAAAATAGTAATGAGCCAACATTTCCTCCTTGGAAAGACTCTGGGAAACCTAGAACTTTCAGGTAGCCGTTAACACTAATTTCACAGGTCTGAGGCCCACAGCATCCCACAAGTGTGTGGTAGGTTGTGTTGATTACCCTGGCTAAGGGATACCCCACCTTTCTTCTACAGTATGTTGTTGCCTACCTAAGTATTGTCCCTTTGCTTTTCCCAGTGAACACATTTTCTTTTGAAAAAAAAAAAAGTGATTAAAGAAATAAGAACAATAATCTCCTTAAATAGGTAGAAACCTATATACAATTGATTCTTGAGAAACATGGGTGTCAGGGACACTATCTCGCCCCACTTTGCAATTGAAATTTAACTTAATACTTTTTTTTTTAAAGATTTATTTATTTGTGCATACAGAACTGGGGTACAGGCCAGAGACTCAGGGGTCGCGAAAGACTTCACCAGAGACAGAGTGGGGAGCAGAACAGGCAGATCGACTAAGTACACTGCTGAGGGGAGCAGCGGGCGGGTCAGGAGAGGTCTGCCTAGCCATGTGGTCACCTCCGGGGCAGGCGGGAATCAAATTCATGCAGAAGTGGTTTCGCTTCTTAGTGCAGTGCTTTAACCCGCTGCGCCACCAGGGAGGGCCCAACTTAATACTTTTGACACCCCCAATACTTGAGTATTAATAGTCTGCTTTTGACCTTACTGATAATATAGTCAAGTAACACACATTAAGTGTGTTATATACACATTGTATACTGTATTCTTTCAATAAAGAAGGTAGAGGGAAAGGTAAGGAAGAGAAAATAATTACTGATTTACTGATACACATTTACTGATACTGTAAGTTTACATCATCTATTCACAAGAAAATTCATGTATAAATGGACCTGAGCATTTCACAACTGTGTTATGCAAGGATTAAGTATATTTGTTTGTATTTAGATCTCTGTTTACAGCATGATATCCTGTTTACTGAAGGCATTCTTATTTATTTAAAATACCACTTTTACCATAGCCACCTTTGGCATCAAATCTATGTTATTAGCTGACTTTATTGTCAGCTAATGCCTCAAAAAATTGTTCCTTAACACAAATTGAAGTTCCTCATTTTTTCAGTCTTGCAAATCTGCCATGATACCTGTGTGGAAATAGAGCCAGGAAAACACCTACAAAAAGCTGTCTGCTCAGTAGGCAGTCTACATGAAAATGCATACAATAAAAAAGTTAATATTTACAAGTAAATGCAATATATACTCAATTCCAACATGCATGAAGCCTTAGGAGAATTGTAAAAGAAATGTGTACAGAGTTGCAAACAATATTATACTGTTTGGAAGAATGAGCTTGTTTTCCAGATGTCTGTAGCCAGACACTATGATGGAATTTTTAATGCCTTTAGAGTAAGCACTGCTTCATCCAATTCTATACACACAGAATCACTCATTAGGACCAGTTTCCATACTCTAATGGGAACTATCAGTTCTGCCAAAATGTCATTCAGCCCTGATTCCAGGCGGTCTGTTTCACATTTGCATCAGGTAATCTTAACCAAATGGATAAATTAAGGATCTCTTTCTTGGGGGAAAGATGAATCCTTTACAACCTCGTAAAAGGAAAGTATTTTAGGACCTCTGACCAGTGTCACAAAGTTTAGCTATAGGAGAACCTCCCTCTCTATGTACTGGTATGAGGACACCACTCTTGGCTCTTGTTTTCCAGTTGAGACTACTATATGAGTGTAACCCAATGGCTTACATCATGGAGAAGGCTGGAGGATTGGCTACCACTGGCAAGGAAGCTATACTGGACATTGTTCCAACTGATATCCACCAAAGGGCACCAGTCATTCTGGGTTCTCCTGAAGATGTGACTGAGTTCCTAGAGATGTATAAGAAGCACGCTGTCAAATAAAGAGCTGGTCTTGCTCACAGCAAAACAAATTGCCTTTTGTCTGGATCTTTTTCTCTTACATGGTGCACGAACCCATTCTGACTATTCATCATACAGATCTATTTCTAGACACAGAAATAGCCTGGGTATTTTCACCATCAAATGCTTTGTACTAATTGGTGCTGCAACTAAAATGCTATATCAATAATACCACTGATGGTCAAGATACATTTTGAGTGGGTAAAGGAAAAAGAAACATTCTCTCTCTTTTTTTAAAGAACTTCATGCTTTATGACCAATAATAGTAATAATAATGGCAACAAGTAATACATATAACATTAGATAACTTATTTAAACTTCACAACTGCCTTATGAATTGGGTGCTCTAACTAGAACATTTCACAGATGGTAAAATGAAGACAAAGTGGTGAGGTAATTTGCCCAGGGTCCCCAACCAGCAAGTGGCAGAGCTGGATTATAAACCCAGGTTGTCTGATTACTAGACTAAGTTTCCTTTAGGAAACAAACAAACAAACAAAAAACCTTGGAATTCATAGAAATTGTTTGGAAGAAAAGAAGCAGGATTTACACAGGCAACTGGCTTTTTGGATCCACTTTTGTACCCTGGCTAGACCCAGAGCCCAGCACATTTTCTGTCACAACTGTGCCAATCTTCTTAAGAAAGGCCTAGATTAACAAAACACCTTTTTATTATTAACCATTTTATAAATCAGTTGATAATGGTTCTGAAAACACTATAAGACAACAGGAAAGGGAATGGCTTCCCCCTCCAGCCCACAATGCTATGATGACACAAAGTAAAATCAACTTTCTTCTCATTTTGTTTGATGCTCTGTGTGGTGTCTTTTGATGAAGACTTTGGCTCACTTAACTGGGGAGTTTTCAACAGTCACTTGTTTCTATTCTCATGTGTCTTTCTCTGAAAAAGAAAAACAGACAAACTTAGAGAAACTACCATACAAACAGTGATTTCCCCTTGATGATTCTTGGAATATGAAAAGTGGATTTGAACTTGGAACTCTTTGGATATCCTTCACCAATGAGACTGACTTCACCGAGCTTTGGGAAGACGTGGTGAGAGCTGGCTGTCTGCTTTACAATATCATGCTGCCCTCAAAATGGGAGCTACTTGGATTCAAGATACATAATGCAAAGGTACATACCCCCTCTAATATAAGGCTATTAAGGATTTTCTCTTAAGTTCTCTTAAGTAACAATATTAATATTTATAAAGAACCCCTCCTATAGGTGTGACTGTAACTGGTAGAGTTTACAGAGACAACTTTTATTTTATTTATTTTAAAAGCCCTATTAATTTTATATCTTTTTAAAACAGGAAACAGTTTGGATCCTATTTTGTCCCCCTACAAATTAAAATCATACTTAGTGCTAAAGCTAAATTTTAAATATTTTAAAACATATCATTTGTTTTGTTGGAGTTTCTCCAAATGGCATACTTGTTTATTTCTGTTTGCCAAAACTTAAGAAAGCAACCATGTACTTTGACTCCAGTGCAAATTACCTGCGTTGGTCAGCCACCACTGGGCATTCTCTAGAGCACCCTGTGACCAGCATGGGAGTCTAAGCTCCATGTGAGCATCACTGGTTTATCAAATCTCTAGTGTGACTGTGACCTAGTCTCCAACTTATGAATTAAATGTAAATTTTCAGATATCTATATTGGGTTAAATGGTTGCCTCAGTCTCATAAAAGACACATTCTCATTCCAAACCCTAGGAACTTATGAATGTGACTTTATTCAGAAAAATGATTTTTGAGATGTCTTATATTAAGAATTTTGAGAAGCACTTATTCCCTATAACATGCATGTATTCTAAATATAACGACAACTATCTTTACAAGATATGCACACAGAGGAAATATGAAGACAGAGGCTAAGATTGGTGTGATGTTTGTTAGCATAAGTCAAGGAAATTGAAGAAATGTCCACAACCACCAGAAGCTGTAAAAAACAAGAAAGTTCTTTTCTAGAGAGTCTCTGAAGGAAACCTCATCCTTCTGGTGTCTTGATTTGTGTGACTGGACTCCACAACTGAAGAACAAATTTCTGATGTTTTTAGTTATTCACATTGAAAAACTTTCTTGAGATAACCCTAGAAAAATAATGTAATGCCCTTTCTGAAATGGTGATGGCTTTCTGTGTGTTTTATAATAATGTAATTCATGATCCTTCATGAAACAGAGCCTAGACAACAATTTGTTCTTCCTTCATAGGGACTTTCCCACTGAATAGGTGCTTGGACTTACACAAATTATTGATTTGGAACACTAAACTCAAAGTGGCTATGATGTTTCATTGAGTTGCTTCTCTGAAGTTCTGAGAAGCTACTTCTAAAGTGTAATTGCTCCTCATGATTTATACAAGCTGGGGTAGAGCTTGTGAAACATGAAAAGCACACCTCTGTCTACTGGGAGTTCTGGTGAGCTGCTAAGAAGGCAGTGGGGTAATAGAGAGTGGGCTTTAAGATGCCTCAAAGGGATCAGTTTGACCTGAGATCCAGTCTGTGAGCCTGCTAGAGACTAGGTAAATTCTCAAAATATTGCTTGCTTTTCTTGGGTTCATGGGGAAACTATATCTTATAGTATCCCTTGCATTTAAGTAAGAGTCATATAACTGAGGTTGGACCAAAAACATATGAATAGAAATATATTTAACTACCTCTTAGATTGAACATCCAATCATCTTTCCTCCTTTCTATGTAACTTCTGAAATTATGCATTTTCATGACAGCATCACATGACATGACAATAGGAACCAGGGTTCCTTGCCTACATTGGATTGTGATAGAAAAGAGAAACAAAGCTTTACTTTGGGATTATTTATTACTTCAACATAACCTAGAACATCCTTAGACTGAGCTTTGAATTTCTTAAATTTTTCTGAAGTCAGATTCTTCATTTATAAAATGTTAATTATACTACTTATTGTTGTAATCAAGACTTTCTCTGAAAGTAACAGAATCACATTCATTCTAGCTAAATAAAAAGTGGATTTTTAAGAAAGATTCAAAGATGTCTTGTGAAATAGATTAATTTCTGAAAGACACAACTTAAATAAGTAGTTAATCTAAAGTTTAGGTATAGAGTGATTCCAACTGCATGACACCTAGAAGACAAAAACATGAAGACAATAAAAGATGAGTGGTTGCCACGGATATGATCAGAGAGGGAGAGATGTGTCAGAGTAGGAAAGAGGAATAGACTGGCCACAGAGAATAATTAGGACAGTGAAAATACACTGTATGACATTATAATAATAGATGCATGCCATTAATTCATTCAAAATCACAAAGTGTACAACCCCCAAAGTAAACTGTAATATTAACTATGGATTTTGACTGGTAATTCAAAATTCCCACCACCAATTCACCCATGTGCTATCACCATATTCCTGGGTGCTCTTCCCACCCCAGTTTTGATCCTGTTTCTCTCTCCTCCCCCATAAAATGTCACGGGTTTATAGTTGTTAGTTGATGATCATTTTTACTGTTACAATTGCTTTTTTCTCTCCCACCCCATACTTTATACTCCTGCTATGAGTGAAACTAAGTATGATCCCACTAAGTATGATCCCATCTAGCTCTATCCATGCTGCCACAAATGGCATGAGCTTATCTTTTTTGATTGCTGAGAAATATTCCATGGTGTATATGTACCACATCTTCTTATCCAAATAAAAACCACAATGAGATACCATCTCACACCAGTGAGGATGGCACATATTAAAAAATCTAGCCATAACAAATGTTGGTGAGGATGTGCAAAAAAAGGAGCTCTCCTACACTGCTGGTGGAAATGCAAACTGGTACAACTGTTACAGAGTGAACTTGGGCTGCCTGTTTGTGGAGCCTCACTGCTCAAAATGTAATTTTCTGCAAGCACACACAGAAAGGGTAATGGGTTTATTTACAAAAAGGGGAAAGGTAAAGGAAACAACCTAGGGAAAGAGAGAGAGAGAGAGATACAAAGTAGCTGGAATACTTTACCAAGACTGCTAACTTGGAGATCTAGTCCCAAACTAACACTGCCAGTCCCAGTCACACGGTCTGAGAGCAGTTGCTCCAGAGAGAGAGAAGCATTACCTCTTCAGAGTGACAGTTGGCAAACTGCTCACTAGTTTATCCCCCAAAGTCCCAGAATTCCTGCTTAGCTCCACACTTAGGTCCTTGCAGTTCTCTCCTTGGTACTGCCAGGAGTTGTAGTTTTCCAATCACTGAAGTAAGGGGTGGAATCCAGAAAGCTGGAGCAGGGGGTGGTGTCCACAGGCTCTGCAGAGTTCTTTCAGGACATCCTTCCACTTAACAAAAGAAACTGTAATCTTTATTTTCCAACTTTGTTTTGTTATTTTATAAAGTTGATACTTAACCACTAAACTGATTTTATTGGTGCATGAGAAAAAGTGAGAATGATCAGCAAATAATCAGATTTCCTATGTGAAGGAGTTTAAAATTGTACTCAATATTTAATGTTTAATTATGAGATAAGTGCTGTTTCTCTGTGGTGGCAAATGTGCAGATATATTTTAAATGTTTTGTCATAGCTGTACATAGTTGTATTTTCATTTGACGACATTGCTGATTATAATAAAAATTTATTGCTTGAAAACTTCCCTTTCTCCAAAATAAATTCTTTGTATATTATGAGAGAATGTGCGTAAAACATCTTAGCAACTAAGAAAGAATGTTAACAAAGAATATCCCTCAGTATTCTACAGTTGGTATTCTACATTCTAGAATCAACTTTGGGAAATGTGAGAGATTGCCTTGGCTATTGGGAGGGCCTTTTTGTCCTAATCGACTGAAGATCAGGTCTGAGAGCATCTTTCACTAAAGCATAGCAAGGCCATAGCTAAATTTGTTGTCATCAGTATACCTGTGACACTGAAACAAATGTGAACTGAATTTTCTTTCTCTCTGTCCTTCATGTCTCAGTTGTTCTATAAATATCCAGCTTGTCATGTGCCCTGAAAGAACTTTGGTATTTACTGAAATGTCAACAGCTGTAACTTCAGACTGAGGTAACTTGAACTTCTAACATTTAAACATAGTGACATAGGGGTATAATTTCTGCTCTCAGCTGTCTGTCTGGACTAGATGGTACCAGAAATAACAAACCCTTCTTCATATCCTTTTGAGGAAATGGCATTGCCTGATTATAAATAACACCAGTCAACACTTCTATCTAATCCCCAAATCAACCAGCGTTTTGTTAATTTATAACATCTGCAGAGCATTGGATGGAAGTGTTTCTCTGGATAGTTGTGCAAAAATCCTGGCTAGTTTGTTTTACTTCCAAAATTCTTTGAATAAATACTTTAATAAAATATAATAGAATTACTGGAACAACCAATAAATACATGCAAAGAATATGCCAATAAAAGCCACCATGAAATATTGATTTCCAGCTACTTGCCTATGATTATCATGAAAAACAAAGTAACAAATATTGGCAAGACTATGGTGACATTCTTGGTGCCCTAAACACTGCTGGTGAGAATGAAAAATAGTGCAATTCCTTAAGAAGTTCAACATAGAATTACCATATGACCCAGCAATTCCATCTGGGTATGAACCACAAAGGAATTGAAATCAGATGCTTGAAGAGACATTTATCTACCCATATTCATAGTAAACTTGTTTACATTAAAAAAAGATAGAAGACACTCAGCTATCCATCAATAGATAAATAATAAACAAAATATGGTAAGTCAATATGAATATTGTTACTGACAGAAAATGTATATCTTTGGTCATTAAGACAGCCAAAATATACTTCTTATACACATTTGGACAGCCTAAATATATTTCTTATACACATTTGGTCTTACAGAGTTCTTGGCTCCCAGCTCTCTTAGGAATTTCTTAAATGATGAAGTGTTGAGCATTGAAGGCTTTTTTTTTCTCTTTGTTAATGAGGGAAAATTTTGTAAACTACCTGAGAATGCGAGCTGGTTATCAGAGAAACCAAAAATGAACAGAGAATTGGAATTTCTAACCCTAATCCCTGATTCTGGTAAAAAAAAAAATACCTCCATTAGGGCCCTCTCTGGTGGTGCAGCCGGTTAAAGCTCAGCACTGAGAAGCTAAAGCCACTTGAGCATGAGTTCAGTCCCTTCCCCAGAGGTGATCCACATGGTGAGACAGACCTCTCTTGACCCTCTGGCTGCTCCCCTCAGTGGTGTACTTCATAGATCTGCCTGGTCTGCTCCCCACTCTGTCTTTTGTGAATCCTCTCACCACCCCTGAGACTCTGGCCTGTACCTCAGTTCTGTATGCATAAATAAATAAATCTTAAAAAAAAAACCTCCATTAAATACCCAACAGGAGAGGTTTTAGAGAACTTCCTGGGTGGTGGTTGGTGAATTAAGTGAGATCCAGCAAAATGGAATAATATGCCTAAATGGTCTAAGCTATATTCCTAAATAACATCTTCAGCTAAAGACAAAGGATGTTGGGGTGGAGAAGAGGACTGATCATAGGAAGTTGCCTGTAAAAGGAATATGCAAAACAAAGGTATGACTGTTATGCAGATTTAAGTTGCCACCATCTCCACTGATAAGAGATACAGATATTTGGTCATTCCCTCTTCTCATACAGGTGGGAGATTTTCTTTATACCTGTGTGTGAGAGAAAGGGTAATTTTCCCTACCCCTAAAGGGCTAGGTGGAGCAATCATATTAACATCAAACAGATTAATAGGAGAAAATAACAAATTTATTTACATATACATGGAGAATGTGCATTGATATAAATTCTAAAATACATGGCATAAAAAGAGGGTATTTATGATGAGTTAAGGAATGAGATAGGGGCCTGGGGCTTCTAGTAGAGGGCAGAAGGCCTCACATAATGAAAGGACCAAATGCTGTATGTTTGTCTACCATATAGACAGGTTTCTCCAATAGGACAGTTATTTCTGGAGATAACTCAAAATATGGTTAAGATTCCCTAATTTTCATTCTTTTAGGTAGTTAAGGGAGTAGTAAAAATTTCTGTTGAGACTGAAGGCTCTTGATTGAACTCAATTCAAAGCAATGCACATACCAAAGTGAAATGTCCTGGGGAGACTGACATCTTGAAGGGTGGGCTATTAATAATGAAGCATCCATAAAAACACAAAAGAGAACTTATAGTTGGAGAACCATAATATTTCATTTTGCTGCGGTGCTGGCTGCCGTGAGAACAAAAACTCCTTTGTTTCAGACCATACATAGGTATCTTTTCATTTGTCTGTTGACTTGACTCCTTTAATGTCTTTTGTAATAAATTGATAATCTAGAGAGTAAGCCAATTTTTAGCTTTGTAAATCATCTATAAAATTAATTGAAACTAAGGAGATTGTCATGGGAACTTCTGGATTTTGGCCAGTAAATCAGAAGAACAGAAGAACAACAACCTGGACTTGCAACTGAAATCCAGAGTTGGACACCTAGTTGTGAGAACTTCCAATTTGTAGCTGGCTGTGGTCAGAGGCACAAGTAAAATTTGGACTGGTAATTGAGGTCTTAGGTTGAGGCTGATCTTATAGGATTGAGTTCTTTTCAGTGGAATTGTACATCATCTCTGATGAAATCTGTCTACTAAATGTTTGAGAACTGTTTGTTGGTATAGAAAGTTCACCAAACATGTTGAAATTGGGTCCAGGAATATTTTCAACCAACCCTGCACAAATGCCTATGGGTGTCTTGTGCCAATACAGATCCCCTAAGTCTTGGGACAACAATTATTTCTAAGCAGTTTGTTAGGAGTAAGGACTTCAATATTTACTTTGCATACTTCTGTGGTTTTTCCTTTACAAGTGCAAATCTAAAGAACTGATAAAATGGTCCTGGTGCCAGGCATTGTGCCCTGAAAAGAATGTTTTCTTCCAGATATGGTTATCTATTAATGGATATTCATTCAGTCATACCTGCTTTCTGGAAAGAAAAAGAAAGCTTTTGAAGTTGTAAGTAGTTCTGTTGTAAGTAATTGTAAATAGCTATTATTTTATTATATGATCTATACCTTGGAGGAGATACTCTGCTAATTTGCCTCCTATAATCACTGGAGAATCAGAGTCTACAGTAAATATATGTGAAAAGCCCTTATGAATCTGCTTCTTAGGGTTCTCTCTCTCCCTACCCCCTCCTTTTTACTTCATTCCTCTTTTGAAAAAAGCTTCTCTAGAGAAAGTAGGTATATGCTTCCTGGGCTGCTAGGTTCTATTTCAAACTTGCTTAGGGCACCCTGGCATAACCAAGCCAGACAAACTTCTCTGAAGACTTGCCCAGTAATTTCAACCACGTGGGCTGAAGCACATTTCCTTAAAGCTCCTCACTTCAGGCTAGAATTTCTAAGCACTGATATAGGGAAGACATAGCTCTTAGATAAGCAGGCATTTTGAACAGAGAAAAAGAAAGATTTGAAGAATTACCAACAGCAATGACTGACAGAAGCCCCTTTGAAACTGATATGCTCACTCTGACCCGCTATGTTATGGAGAAAGGACGTCAGGCCAAAGGGACAGGGGAGCTCACACAACTGCTGAATTCCATGCTGACTGCCATCAAAGCCATTTCCTCAGCAGTGCGCAAGGCCGGCCTAGCCAACCTGTGAGTAGTGTGGGATGCATAGGGATCTGGGGCCAGGTGGGATGTGAGTAAAGCTGCAGGTCCCGGGGCTAGAAACCCACATTGAGTTTGTTTGCCACTGTGCCTTGGAAGAAAGTTGCAATTAATGTTTCCATCACATGTGCTTTAATAAAAGCACATATACAATATTCCTTTCAAAAAAAGGAAATTTGGAGATTTGCTTTGTGAAAAAATATATATATATGTAATTTTTCCTGTTGCCACTTTCTATAATAACAAGGCCAGTGTCTTGTTATATTAAAACATATATTGACCTATCGTGACTGGTGTTTTCATTCTACCTGGCACAAATTAACAGCCAGGACACTTTGGAAGTATCTTTCTGTAATTTGCAGATAGGAGTGTTTTCATGTCAGGGTCATTTACAAAACAGGTAACTTTCCAGGGCCAGGTTCTATATCATCTCTCTCACAATGGAAAGGAATCTTCTGCTGAGAATTTCTTCTCTGATTTTCTTTATGCCCTCCACTTAGTGTATAGGAAGTGGGAGGTACATGTCCAGGAGGAGGAAATGCAGAGTGAGATTTCACTTGTGCTCTCTGCTATTTTAATCTAAGGACAGAAAGAGACCAAGTTTAAGTAGGTTATTTCTAAAAGCAATTTCTTTTCAAAAAGCAGTTTCTTTGGACTTTCCAGCAGAGGCCTTCTTAGATATTGAAAGGACTTATTATTATTTACATTTCAAAATAAAGAAATAGCAAAGTCCAATAATTGAAAATATTTATTCTTAACAGTTTATTGCTTTGAGAAGAAATGATTGAATTAACTCAGAATATAATTATAGAATTTATTTATATGACTTGTGAACTAGTAATGGGATGCTTTATGGTTGGCTCATTCCCCCAACCCCCACCACTTATTGCTATAACCTTGTTACTGCATCTTTTGGTGGTCATGTTCTGCATTTAAGGACACTCATGGATGTGAGGTGCAGCCATTTGTTGCAAGGTCCTACAAGGTGGCGCACCCATGGTGGTACTTGGTGGTGACAACAAATACAATGCATACTCACTTGAAGTCCTTGGAAACTGCAACCTTAAGAGAGAGGAATTGTAATGAAGCCAGATTTTCAAAAATAATGTTTGTTCAATGTCCTCCCAAGACAATTTCCCCCTCCACCAACATTGTAGCAAAATGACACTGGACCCACTAAAGTGACCTTGCCTTTCCCTGTGGTTAGGCCATGCTAACCTGCCATTTCCTGGGCATCTCAGTGTTATCATCCCACTCATCAGGCTCCTTTTCTCTAGAGCTCGGGCAAGACAAGCTGCTGCTGTGAGGACACCATGATAATCATGGACAGAACTCTGAGACAGTGAGTGTCCAGATGAAATTTGCTCAGGAATGGCATAATGAAGGTCATATGACTTAGTTTTTCTTGCCATGTAATAATGGACAATGATCTACTCACAATTGGACCTCAGCTTCCCTGGATGAGGGTGAAACAGAATTTTGTGTATCTTCAGTAAGTTATAGTTTGTGTACCTTTAGCGTAAAGTGTCTCTTTCGTAAAGTATAGTTTGCAAGAGAAATTTTATTTGAGGCTTTGTAGGAATTTATAAGAAAATGATAGTGGGGTGAATGACCTCTGTTTTTCCTGTCTATGTCCATTCAAAATTCATTTGAGTACTTATTGTTTGTAACACTCTTACAAATTTGTACTATAAGAAAAGTGAAAAAAATGTATGTGACACATAAACAAATTTTATTTGGTCATTCAGATATCAAAATATGTTTCTCACATATATTTGGTCTTCTTTTATAGTTCCTACATCACAACTCCCCAGAGAGATAGTTTCCTTTTTTTTTTGTTTGTTTGTTTAATGTCAATGAGATATTTTTTGTTAAGCACCTAAAGATGAGGGCTGGTTTGCCAGGAGAATCTATCATTTGATTAGAAGATTGGCCTTTTCAGTCACATCCCCAGATCTCAGGCTAAGGATGAAGCCTGGAGGTTGAATCAATTGATTAAACCCAGGGCTTAATCAGTCATGTCTATTATAATGAAGTCTCCAAAAAAACTAAAAAAAAAAAAATAAGGCTTATAGCACTTCCAAGGTGGAGATTATGTGGAGATTTGGGGGAGAGTGGAAGGAAGGGTCATGGAAGCTCTGTGTCATTTCTCCATTCCTTTCACTAGGTATCACTTCCATCTGAATATTCATGTGTGGCCTTTATCATATCCTTCTATAATAAACTGGTAGTCCAGAAAATAAAACATTTTCCTGAGTTCTATAAACTGCTTTAGAAAATTAGTCCAACTAAAGAAGAGTGTCCAAGCATTACAGACTTTGAGTCAAAGGAGTAAGTCCTTTGCTTTCTAGAGAATGAGTCCACAGAAGATGTTGGCTGTAATAAATCTGGGAAAGATTTATGAAGATCTGAACTCAAAAAGTACAAGGGAGGCAGGTTGAGATCTGACTCTAGACTAACTCATCAAGGAGAATCCTGAGACTAGTTTATAAACAATTTTTAAATTTTTATATCGTTCTTTGAGTGATCCTCCAGAGTGAGTTTGATCTTTCATAACTCCACAAGTTATATAGTAATCAGTACAGCCATAACCTGGGTACTGTCCCTGTATGCTTGAGGGCACACAAAGGATAGGTGAAACGATGTTAATTTAGAACAAAGTAGGCATAAACAGAGTAGTTAAAAATGTCACTCTGATGTCCATCATGTCTTTCTGGTCTCAGGAACGTCTGCTGGCATGATGGCTGGTGAGTGGTCTGACCTGTACCTGCTCCCACTGCTCCAATCCTTCTATTTTGCTGGCAACACTTGATTTATATTCAGTTGATCAAAAATATAGGTGCTTTCCACAAGCATCCAAAGTGTGTGCATATGTTTATGGGGGGGGGGGGACAGAGTTGTAGGACTTATCCTGAGGAGACACTGTCATAACTGAGTTAACTTTTCAGATATCCTACTGCTGTTGGACAATCTTGATGGATGTTGGAATGAAATGGTTGAGAATTTTTTGTTGGTGTGGAGAGGCACATATTCTCTCACTGGAATTGGGTCCAGGAACTCATTCAGTATTAATGTCACTTACTTGTAGGGCTGTTTTAAACTGTAGTAAATCCACATGATTAATACACATGATGATAACTTCACCTGTGTAAGTATGCTGATTCTATCAGAAATGCTCACTGAACACTTAAGGCTACCATGCATTCAAGACCGGGAGAAATTTGCCTACTGACTGTTTGATGACAGCTATTGACCACTAGGTGGCAGGCACAGCCTGTGAAACAGACTTCAGAATACTACTTTTTCTCTGGTCTGGGTGTGGGATCTATTTGCTGCAGAGGCTCCAGTAGTCTACCAATTCAAACGGCATCTTTTCCCTGGGTCCTCAGTAACAAACATAAAAAATTGCAGCAGAAGCCCTTTAAATGGAAATTTAAATGGAAGATGTTGAGATTAATTTATGAAGATCCTGGCATTGTTTCTTAGAGAACTAAAAGGTTGTACTCCTGCTCAGTTCTGCTCAAGAAGTGGGACTTTCATATATTACCACTGTTTTTCCAATAAGAGGGCCTCAAACTCTTCACTCCTTTGCTTTCTCTGTATGGGAAAATATTTCTATTACATCTCTAATAAATGTAACTTGAAAGTGTCCATGAGATCTCTTCCCCACTCCTTGCTGTAGGAAGAAGGGAATTCTAGTATCCTTCCTCTCTAAACTCCTCACCAACTTTCTATTATCAAGATGCCAGAACATCCCATCTAAAAATTATCACTGAAGTTTTAGTGCTATGGGTGTAAACTCTTCATTACCCACAATCTCACTTGGAGCAGTCATGAGCAATTGGATCTCACTGTGAATGAGTTTCAGTTCTATCTGGAACAGAGAGTGTTAATAATGGGTAGCTTTAGTGAGGTGTCCAGAGCATGGAAGTAGCATGCTGAGGGACAGTTGAAGAGCAGGTTGGTTGGGTTTGCAAAATATAAACTAGAGAGCCTCTATCTGGGCTCTGCCCACCACAGACCAACTTTTCTTTCTCCAGCCAGAAGCTGTATCAAGATTCCATCTTTCTTTCCTCCCGGAGTGTGGTCTGGTCTTTCAGAGTTCTCTCTCTCTCTCTTTTAACATTATAACATTTATATTATATTTAACATAAATAAAAAAGTATTTAGGGCCCTCCCTGGTGGTGCAATGGGTTAAAGCACAGTACTACAAAGCTAGCCCTAGCCACTACAGTGTGCGTTGGATCCTCAGCCTGGAGGTGATACACATGGCATGGCAGATCTCTCCTGGCTTCCCTCAGCAGTGTACTTCGTTGATCTGCCTGTATTGCTCCCCACTCTGTCTCTGGTGAATCCTCTCACCTCCCCTGCACCTCCCCCCTGTACCCCAGTTCCATATGCATAAAATAAATAAATTTCTTAAAAATTTTTATTCATATACCTATTTAAATTATTGTTCATTTAAACATAATATTTACTTTTCCCTCTCCCCCACTTCACCCACTGGTCATTACCATAGTCCCCCACATTCCTCCCTCTTTCTGGTCTCTTTCTGTCCTCCTCCCTTGTAGGATCTCTATGGTTTATAATTGTTTGTTTTGGTTTTGTTGTACTGTGCTTTGTTTTGTAATAATAATTCACATTTTCCTCCCTATGTCTTATTTGGTTCTCTTAAATTCCTCCTATAAGTAAAACCATTTGATATTTTTCTTTTTCCTTCTGACTTATTTCACTGAGCATAATCCCTTCCCACTCCATCCATGCTGCATGAGTTTATCTTTTTGACTGCTGAGTAGTATTGCATTATATTACTGGTAAATTACTCAGATAATGTTATATAAATAAACAATAGATATGGCTGCAAAAAAAAAGGCCTCTAGTTTTGGGCATTTGTGTTGTTTCCAGGATTTATCTATTGTAAGTAGTGCTGCAATATGCAATAAATACAGGGGTGCATATATCTTTTTCAATTAATGTTTGTGTGTCCTTTGGGTAGATCCCTAGGAGTGTATAAATAAGAGGATTGGATTCATGGTTCCTTTAAAATCTGATGCAAAGTAGCAGTTTGGTTGCTGCTATTTGTTTTTCTTTGGTATGAAGTAGTATAATTTTTGAGGCCAGGCTACCAGTAATATTTTCCAAGGCAGATGACTCAGCTCATGACCTCACATCAGGTATGAGATAGGGGAGATTTGTTGAGGAGGTAAGAAGCTGTCAGTTAGGGAAGAGGATGGGAAATGAATTGTACCATCCTCCCATCCTCCTTTCAAGTTGCTCAGTAGTTTTCAAACTTTGCTACCTATTAGAACCACCTCAGGATTCCTTTAACAATTAAATGCCATTAAACAAATAAAGGAAGGAAAATTACTTTTGTGCCATCCTTTCTTTGTAATTCAAAGAAAGTCAGTGGGATTCCAGCCCCTACACCCAGTGCTCTTTTCTATTGGTGCTGTTGTCTTATTTCCTGTTCTCAAGATTAAAATGTAGAATCAGGCAGAGGGCTTCTCAGCAGGCCAAACATCCTGGTATGAGGACCATACCTGGAAACAGGTATCTGAACAGCAGGCAAATGTTATGGCCAGATTAGCCAGATAAGCTAAAATGCCTTGCAAAGATTAACAAAAAGCTAGGTAAGAATAGGGATTAGAGATAGTTGCTTTGATAAGTAAGAACTCTGGAGACCCCCAAACAAAAGCCTCTGGTCACTCCACTCTAGTTTGCACCAGAGGACAGCATATCACTGATAATACTCCACCACAGATGTGCATTCCTCTGTACCTGTCCATCTTTTCTGAACCTGGTTCTAAATAGACATGAGACTTCCCATAGTTTGGGGCTGCACATTTTTAGGAGTAAGAAGCTCAGGGCTCTCTCCACTTGGATTTGGGTTTTCTTTCCTTTGACAGCTCTGTTCCCAGTGCTGCTACCCTGCAAAGTGACAGATATGTATTATGTCCTCAGGCATTGTGACAACAAATGTGACTCATTGTGACAACATTGTGACTCTTGTCCTCAATGAGTAGATAATCCATCAGAAATAACAGTCCCTTGAACAGGTTGTGAACCAGAAATGACAGGATTGTGTATGGTATATGATGGGAACTTGAGGGTAAACCATGGACACTTCAGGATGGAAGAAACATCTGACAATGCATGGGTAGCATTCCCATTAATGCCCTGAGTGAAGATGGAAAGGAGAGGAGCAGCTTGCCAATGGTCTGTGGCCACAGGATTGATGTTGGAATGAAAAGGCTTGAGTGGGATGATAGACTATGACTCTTGGGGGGAAAGCTTGGAGGTTGAAGACAGCAGCAAATCCAGATGTAAAGCAAATGTGTTCCCTGGAGTTTAGGGAACTGAGATTTACTATATAAAGGGGTGAGGAAGAGAGGCCAATATAAGAACAGGGATTCTTCAGTAGGGCCTGGGGTCTGCTCTTGGAGATGTGTGTGATCTAACAGAAATTTTCAAAGATCCCCTGCCATGAGAGTGGAGACCTAGAGATCTTTTCATGAGAATAGCTCCCCAGTCCCCCAAAAGAGACAAGTGTGCCAATTCCAAAGTTAACACCCTTCCTCTTCCCAACCTCTGACTGGGAATATAGTTGTCTCTGGTCAGCAGTGTAGGACATTCTGGTCAGCACCAATATGTAAAAAATTTTTCTATTGCCCAAATATAGGCTAGATAATTCCCTCTTCCCCCATGTTGCTGCCTTCCTGCCTGTAAGATCTTTTCATTTTGAGATTTTTGGAGCTCTCTTCTACTTGCTAGATAAGATGCTACTCAATTTAGATAATATTTAAACCATTTACATATTCACAATTAGCTGGATTGGATTTTTATTTAATACAAATACTCTAAACAGAAAGCTAGACTTTTTATTGTTATGTTATTTCTTATATTAATGAAAAGATTGTGAATAACCAAATTAAATTATTAAAATTATCCGCAAATTTCCTTTCCACTCAATTACTATCCTGGCAAGATAATCAATAAATATGTGAAATTCCAGTGCTAGGAAACTGTGGTTCTCTTTGGCAATGTATTTGACTTCATGTCCATTGTTTTCATCTTATAAACAGTGTAGTTCTATAAGACTGAACTCCGCTGAGGGTTAGTCTGAATAAGGGACTGACAATATCTCCAATATAGGAAAGAAGAAAGGTTGAGAATCATCACTGTGGACATGGCATCATTGTTTTGGTGTGATAATTTGAAGGCTAAACAGTGAAGGCAAGCAGAGTGCATTGGTGGGGTTTTAGTATCTGAATGTCTCTGCCTGCCAGTTTCATCTTGTCTAGTGACTTCCTTCAACTGTTCTGTTCTTAGGTATGGAATTGCAGGAAGTGTGAATGTGACAGGGGATGAGGTGAAGAAACTGGATGTGTTGTCCAATTCCCTGGTTATAAACATGCTCCAGTCCTCTTACAGCACCTGTGTCCTGGTCTCAGAAGAGAATGAGGAAGTGATTATCACAAACAAGGACAGGCAGGTATGTGTGCAGGAGGCCTGACATGCATGTTTATTTTTATCAGTAGCAGTGGTGCAACTGAGTTGGAAAGAGTCTTTGGTTGCTTTGATTTTCTTTAGTTTCTGGGATTTCCCTTGGTTGCTTACCTTTTAATTTTCAGAAACAAAGGATCACATACATTTTTAAATTGGAAGCATGCTGTCCAGTTAAAAAAAAAAAACAACCTCTATAGCAGGGAAGTGACAAACTTGCTAAAATGCCTCAGTGATGGGGTTCATGGGTTTTCTCTCATTGTACATGTAACAAGTGCTGGAAATTTGGGGGGCTATAAATTGAAATTCAGTAAAAAGTAGAGTTATTAATTTTCATCCTTACTTTTCATCCTTACTTTCATTCCACCTCTTCCCCTAGCACCTATATCACCAAGAGATGATAGTTTCAGCAAAGATTTCTTCATACCTGACAAACTACTAGACTAATGTCATAAAGAAGCCATAAAGATCCTGGTTCAAACTATGGTTTGAAAAAGAGTTTACTATAGAGAGAGGTTTGCTGATGGTCAAAAAAGTTCAATCCATGTTTACCTGTAAGATAGTAAGGCAGAATGAATTCTGGGCACTGTGTTGAAGTACCATTTCATTATGTCATGCCAGGACAGGAATTTAAAGTCAAATTTATTAAGTGTCTATGTACGTTAGTTACTGTGAGTGCTCTTGTTAATTTAAGCTAAATCACACCCATATTTCCAACTTCAAATTTGTACTGCAATGATCTTTGGTGACCTGGCCAATTGAATCCATACTTTATCCCAGTTGACCTGAGCCCCACTGATCTTCAGTGTTAGCTCTTGAATGTGCCATGTCTGCTGTCAAGCTTATGTTAGATGCTCAATAAATATGTTGAATCAATGCAAATATCGATGAATGGACAAACTTGGATAGAGAGAATGGGGAATTTCCTAGTTTATGGATTTTCCTAGGTACCTCCCTCATTGCTCAAGGAAAAAAAGAGAAATATTGATCATTAAATCAAGAACTGACCTGATTGTAGACACAGGTAAAGCTATCCCAGCTTGTCTTCCCTATATGGTATGATTTTCAAACCTGGTCTTCTTTCACTGTCACATCCCTGAGTCCTCAGTGGGCCCTGGTAGGAGAGGAGGCAGAACCAGAGAAAATTAATATAGTAAAGAAATAAGACAAGTATCTTGGGGGGGGATCTCTTTGGCACAGAGATGCAGACCTGGATTGCCCTGTGTAGATTCAACTTAATCTGTTTATGGACAGGTTGATCTTTAGTTGCACAGTTCATTTATACTGATACACTCTTCCCAATGAAGAAATTGCATTTTTGGTTGAAGGTATCCTGCTTTTTGTGTAATGCTGTCTTTGCACATGGCAAATGGGTGAAATGTTGGTCACAAGATGACCTAACCTGGTATTTCTTCTCTATTCTGTCTGCAGGGGAAATACGTGGTCTGTTTTGACCCTCTGGATGGATCTTCCAACATCGACTGTCTGGCCTCCATTGGAACCATATTTGCCATCTACAAAAAGGTAAGGAGATAGTCTGATCTGTTAGGTCTCTCTCTGGCAGAATCTGGAATGTTCCTAGGTGGGAGCCTGTAGCCTGAAATTTTAATCTCTGTACTTCCACTATTACAGATAAACAACTTTTGTCAAATTATGAATCTTGGGCTTCCCATTGGAAACCTGAATTAGTAATTTTTCCTTTGCATTCTTCATTACTTTAATTTTAAAACATTCATGATGTTAAATGGGGTCTTGTTTTGAAAATCTGGATGGAATTCAATGTCAGGCATGTATTAGGCAGTTTCTGAAGGTCCATATTTAGAAGCTTAAAATAACACCTATTTCTTATCTCCCAGGAATATAGGTTGAGAATCTACAGGAAAAGGTGGATCCTCTGCTTGGGGGCTTATAAGGATAACAACCTAGCTATCAGCCTTCTCAGTGAGAAGTTTCAGGTGGTGGAGTTTCATTCTTGGGGGCAGGGGTTTGCTTTTAAGAGAAGTAGCTACTAAGAGAAGTAGCAACTTGGCTAATTTAGGTCATTGGCAGGAATCAGTTACATTCTGTCACAGGATGGAGATCTTTATTTCTTTGCTGACCAGTGGAGGTCAGTCTCATATTCTAGAGATTTTTTGCATTCCCTACATTCCAAAAGTGATCAAGTAGGCCAAGTCATTTGCACACTTCTGAAGAAGTGCTCCTTGGGTCCTCTCTGGGGTCCCGCCATTTTTTTTTTTTTTGCTATCCAATGATTTTATTGAAAGGTATATCCCGTAGTACCAAAGTATAATGGGAGCTGATTATGTCAACTCAAACATTAACACTGATAATAATAAAAATATTGAAATATTGAAATATTTTGGGTACCCACAAAATATAATTTGCAAAAGTATAACATATCCTCTGGTTCTTTGGTTACTTTTTGAGTAATCTTTACCAAGAACATTGCAATGACTAGTAACCGCTTATACCTTTAATACTGCCAGTCATCTTACATTCACCGACCTGACAGAACACTACCTCAACAATATCATCATCATGAAGATGCCTGCTTCGCTTGCCTTGCTTATAGAAACATTGGGGCAATTAGTGAAAATACATTCTCTTCTGTTTTTTATTTAAAATTCTAATTAGGAGCAGCAGTGGTTTTATAAAAGCAATCCTTAGGAAAAAGTTCTGGAGTGTTAAATCATGTTTTCAGAAATTGATTTATTCTGAGTTACTAATAAAATAAAAGCTAATATTCTTAACCGGACTAGATTGAGACAGTAGTTTTTATATAAAATTTTCTATTTTGGATACAAACAATCATTTTCTAGAAAGAAAATACTAAATACAACTTAATATGCCAAAGTTACTAGGTCTATAGTTTGCACTATATAAAATGCCCTCGAGCTTAAATGCAATTCATGTAGTTCCACATCTCTCGATTGTATATTACTTAATTTCACAATGCCAAGAAACCATTTACCTTGGATAAGATGCTACTTTTGGTGTGTTGTTTTATTTCATAGTTATGAGAAGAAACAAGTCAATAAAATTATCAAAGTAACAAAAAAAAAACTTATTATGCCTTAAAAGTGCGTTTGTGAAATCTCGGGTTTGATGCCACCTCATAATTTAAACTTTAAGTAGGTTACCATTTTGAATACCACCTAACTACAATATATTGACCCAATATAGAAAGTTACATCAGTATTAGAAATAAACATTCACAGTTTACCTCCCAAGATTATCACCATTTTCACATTTATGCTCTTAGCTTTGATTTATATACCTCGTGGATGAATTCAAATCTAGGAGTAATTCCAGGCAGTTTTCCCAAATCTGAGAACATCAATGCTAATCTAGTCATTTTAGAGGCTTCACAGCTTAAATCCACTATAATATCATGAATCCACAGCTCAGGATTGTAGAGAAAGCCTTCAGAAAAGTGTTTTTTTGGTTGCTGGAATAATCCCATTAAGGACCCAATTCAGAAGTTGTTGGAAGGTGGATTATTCCTGTAGAAGCTATGCTTCTACAGAAACAATCCACTTCAACTTTTGAACATTGGATTTGGAACACTTGTTTGATGAATATTCAGTTAACACTTGGAAAGGAGCTCTTGCCAGAAGGTCAGATCTCTGCCATTTATCTTGGAATGTTTCTTCAGAAACATTTCTACTGTCAACTCCACTTACTTCTGTGTTTGAATCTCCAAAGCAGTGATAGACAAGACCGGCACAGAAGGCTTTGCTCTAGAAAATATAATCCTGCAGTGGAATACCTTCAGCTGAGTTTCTAGTCTTTCAAAATTAAGGTTATTTCTCCTTTAAATGGTAAGTGCTCTTGAATGAGTGAATAGTAAAGTGGCAGAAACTCAAAGGGAGTAGTAGTTTGATTTTCCGGCACACCTTCTCCAATACAATTTTTTCCATTCTTATCAAGTCTGAAACCATGAATCTAGACTGGCTTATCTGGATCAAGTCAGCTGCCAGTGGGACATTCCTTTCCTCTTCTACAGACTTCACAGCCAAATAAAAGCAGCTCAGCCCAACACATACCAAAGTGCGCAGCACTGTGAAGCTATCTATGACTACTGCAGCACAATTTTGATTCCCCATCAGGGAGATGACCCACCTGGTATAGTAGATCTCTACTAACCCACCCACTGCTCCCCTCAGCAGTATATTTCAGTCACTCTGCCTGTTCTGCTCCTCACTCTGTCTCTGATGAATCCTCTCACCACCTCCAGACATCTGACCTGAACTCCATTTTTTGTAAGCATAAATAAATAAATCTTTAAAAAAAGTGCTCTCTCTGGCCCTCCCTGGTGGCGCAGCGGGTTAAAGCACAGCACTGAGAGGCTGAAGCCACTTCCACATGAGTTCGATTCCCGCCTGCCCCGGAGGTGACCACATGGTGTGGCAGACCTCTCCTGACCCGTCCGCTGCTCCGTCAGCAGTGTACCTTGTCGATCTGCCTGTTCTGTTCCCCCATTCTGTCTCTGGTGAAGGCTCTCACCGCCCCTGAGCCTCTGGCATGTGCCCCAGTTCTGTATGAATAAATAAATAAATCTTTTTTTAAAAAAAGTGCTCTCTAACACACTCACTTTGCCTCATCTCCCCTTTCTTTAGCTACTGTTTCTAAGAGGTCATTGGATTAATTGGGTTCTCCTGGATAATCCAGGCTACTGTCCCTAGATTTGAATTGGAACCCTAATACCATCTGCAGAGCTTCCCTTTGCCATGTATTGCAACATACTCACATCTGCCCCACATATCTAATGACAGACAGGATCTTATCAGTTAGTCTGTGGTCAGCCAGTAGGAACAGAAACTTCATGTCAAGCTACATAATATGAATTAACTTTAATTTAGGGATTATTCCTCATTCTAATCAGAGTGTTTGTGCCTTTTCCCTTTGGGCTTCTGGGAGGAAGCCGAGAGCACTGGAATTTCTTCAGAATCCAGTTGGTGACTTGCTTTCTGACTGGTTTTAGAGACCTATCCCTAACTTCATGTGAAAACATCATCTCCACTAAACTAATAACCATCAAACAAAAAGTAGGTAATACTTACTTCCCTACTGATTTGGCACTAATCATATACAGTTAATTTTCCATGTATGACTTTCTTATATTCCTAGATTATAAACTTGGTACCAGGCATACACCATATCATCTAATATCATAATCATATATATTACTGATAATGTAATATATTTGTATTTGACTGATAGTGCCCCCCACCCCAAATAAAAGTACCAGAAGTTGATTTTCTGGGATAAAGCTTAGCAGAAAACTAGCCTTAGCAGAATAAATTAATTCGCCTAAACTATTTGGGGGAGGAGAAAGAATAGAAAAATGGAAATTAAGCCAGCCTACATTACAAGGAAAAAGAAATCTTATCAGGTTTTGCTGAATCAGTTGATATTTTTCTTTTTTCTTGTGAAGAGAAAAAAGACTTGTTGAGGCAGCAGGAGAGAATGACACAAGACATTTTCTCTGGTATTGGAAAAGTTAAAAAAACTAAGAGAATGATTCCAGTTTAAGCAAAAAGGAAAGGAAAGGTGCTTTATTTCTCCTTTTTAGTGACAACTTAGAAAAATATTAAAATATGGATGCTATGATACCTGTGCCATTCTGCAAAAAGACACCAGTTATCACTGAGGTGTTTTTAAATATTGGCTTCATCATTATATCCGATTCTGCAGAGCATGAGGCAGGTGCAGCTATCTCTATGTGAGAGTCCAGAGGTCCTAAACCAATCCTCACCTCAGCCCTCAGGAGGCAGGTGCACATACAACTCACAATTTTTTTTTGACAGTTGAACAAAGGTAAGAACTAAAAAGATAAGTAATTTGATTATAGACCCAGTCAATACATGGAAGAATATAAACTCAAGAGGGCCCCTGACTCCACCATCATGGTATTGTTCCTTGCCAACACATACGTTTTAAAAGTATTTAAGATGTACAAATAATCTTCACAATGTATTTAGTTAACTTCACATTGTTACATCTTTTTTTCTTACCATGAGAACTTTAAATAATGTTTATAGCAACATTCAAACATACAATAAGCTATAACTATAGCCATTATAGTTAATATATGTTAACATATGATGTATATCTATCTCCAGAAATTATCTTTTAAGTAGAACTTGGTTATTTTTGATAATATTCACCCATTCCCCCCCCAAAAAAAATCTTAACCCCTGCCTGGTAGCCATCTAAGACCCCAGTATTTTTTAGATTCCACACTGAAGTGAGGTCACACAGTATTTGTCTTTCTGTGTCTGATTCATTTCACTTAGCATGTTGCCCTCAAGTTCAATCCATGTTGCAAATGGCAGGATTTTCATCATAAATGGATGCTGAAGATTATCAATGTTTTTTTCAGCATCTATTAATACGACCATTTCTTTTTCTTTCCTTTAATTTATGTGGTGAATAACATTGATTAAATTTTGGGTGTTGAGCCACCCTTGTATTCCTGGTATAAATCCCACTTTGTCATGGTGTAAAATCTTTTCTATGCA